TTTCCATTTGGGAGCGGCCATTCGCGTTTTGACGGTAGTGGCAGCGGACCGGTGTAGCTCGTCTCCGGACGGAACTTCGCTGGACGGGCCCGATTCCGAGATCAGCGGGTCGCTGCGGGACGACACACAGGTCACACGGATCGAGGCCAGCGGGTCAATGGCAGCGAGACAAAACAGATTAAATCGCACCCCAATCAGCAGGTCACTGTCGGAAGAGGAAGTCAGATATTGTTTGTTTTGTTGTCAGATAGATCGCACCCTATCAGCAGGTCAATGGCAGCATATCACATATCTTGAATGTCGGCAGGCTGTTACTACTGCTAAACAAATGCAATGGATCATTCAGTGGCGATTAAAAAAACGAACGATAAGCATGTTTTTTGTTCAGATTTACGGAAACATTCAGCAGACTATTAATTAGGTAGTGTACCGACAGTGTTGAAACTCACCTTTCGAAATAGATGTCGTCTTCCACGAAAGGAAGGTCCGTCCGGTCGACCCGGGCCCGCTTGTTGTTAGGTGCCGGCGAGGTGGTGGCCTTTGATCGTTTCCTGGTGGCCAGTCGATGGGAGGTCGGTCGGGCGGCGGGTCGGCCCGTGTCCGCCGGCTCGGAGCGGGGCGGCGCCGCCTCGGAGCCGGTGTCGCTCGCGGCGCCCGACGGCGGCTGCTCGTGACGCGGCGGCGCCACCGGCGGCTCGCTCATCTTGTCGAGTCTCACGACGGGCGTCTGCTGCAGCTGAGTGGGGCGCGGGCGGGCCGGCGCCGGCCGCCGCGGCCGCCGCAGCTCCCGCGCGCGCTGCTCACCCATCGCAGTGTGTTCCGGCTCGGCCCGCGTGGCCTCCGCTGGCGGCTCCGTATCCGCAGCAAGGCACTCCGATTGCAGCATGTCCTTATCGGTGGCGGCCAAGGACGCTGCAGGGGGCACGGCCCTCGGCTCGCCTTCCGGCTGCGGCGCCTCGGGCAGCGCCACCGCCGGCTCCGGCGCCGCCGCCGTGGAGCCCGGCGTCGGCGGTCTCGACTTGAGACGAACCTTCTTCTTCTTGTTGGGAAACCCGGTGCGGTTGATTTTCCGCCGTTTACGGCGCACGGTGAGGGCAGCGGTATCTTGGGGAGACTTGGCAGGGGTGTCGGCTGGGCCCTCTGCGCACGGAGCTGGACACACGTCACCGACTGGTGGCGGGTCAGACTCGACTTTTGCCGGGACAGAGTCGGATCGGGCTGCCACCGCCTCTACTGTCACAGAGACAGCAGGAGTGTCGGGACATGACGCGGGTATCCCGGATGGAGGGGCGGTGTCCGGGGTCGGCACAGGCGCGGAGACGGTGGGAACATCAGCGGGTGGTGGCGAGGGTACAGGCGGACACTCTGCCGTCGACTCCGTCTTCGAGTCCGGTCGTTCAGAGCCGGAGCGGGGCCGACGACGCCACCGTCGCCGCCGGCCGGGGTGTCCGGACGGGGCGGTGTCGGCCGTCGGTCTCCGCCGTCGTCGGCGATCCTCGGGTCCCGGGAGCGACACTGCGCGGGTCTTGTCGCCGCCTGGAGTTTGGACATCGTCCGACTTCTTCGTAGAAGAAACCGCATTTGAACCTTCCGCCGCTGGGCCAGCAGTGCCAGCCAGCCGTGTGCTGGCCGGGGGAGCCGACTCTGAGGTGGCCGTAACAGTTCGCTTGTTGGCAGATACTGCGCCTTTCTCATCCGCTTTCGCATTTAGTTTCTGGCCTCCATCCACTAAGTCCGATGCTTTGTGCTTTGCTGTCTGCTTTTGGTTCTCCGGCCTGTCGGGAGTTTGTGCTTTGTGGACAGCTGTCCGACTGTGGGATCCGTCGCCAGACTGCGCGCGACTTCGAGAAACTGACTGCTTTTTACTTGCTTGTTCTGACTTAGTCAGGGTGAGCTTGCAAGGTACCTTCGAAGTGACTGACTTCGTAGACGACTCGACACACTGCCGCTTAACCAAAGCTTTACATATCACAGATGGGTGATCAGGTGATTCAACAGAATTCATACGATCCGGTCCCTTTCCAGTGTCCCCGGGTGAATACAGTTCTTGGGCCTTGTTCACAACTTTGTCGGAGACTTTCTCGGCTCTAGGAGCCGTTGATTTGCAGGCAGTAGTTGATTCCATTGCACAGAATCCGGCTTTTGCTGGAAGGGACGCTGACTTGGCCAGGGAGCTTATCGACTCAGCCAGCGACTGGCTGATGTGATGGTACCGCTTTTTGAGGGGCAAACACTGCTCCTTGTTCTCATCCTCCTGAAACGGAGACGGGGCGTGACGCAGCTATCACACCACTTTTTCAAATTATAGTTCGGGAAACGCTAGATTATTGAAAATGTCTTCGAATAAAGAAGGATTGACATAAAACATGATTCTTTTCTTGACATATGCAGGCGCATAAGACCATAAAAACACCAGCCCAATATTTAGAAGCTTCTGATACCAGCCTGACTTCTTTCCAAACATTTCACGGCCAAGAGGCGCGGGAGACGAGGCGCAAACACTGGACAGTTGATCACGTGTATCTACGGTAGATAATTATTGTTGTAAGAGGTGAACCTCTCACAATAACAAGCCCCGTAGCCCAGTTGGTAGATCGTTGGACTCCCGGTAGTGAAAAACCGGATTCGAGTTGCTCCCGCGCTCGATATTTGAGACTCCTGACGGGAATAGTCTGCGATTGGTGGGAGCAGCCGCAGCCGGTTGAAGTCAGTTGAGTGGACAGGCCGTGTCCGGCTTTGACGGGCATGCTAAAGTTTGGCATCTAAATTCTCCCGTTACTCGGCATTGCGCCGCACGCGATCGGACGGTAGGGGTCGGGGTCTAAGCAACACGCTCTGATTAGCGTAAGCTCCGGCTCTGTAAATCTGTCCATTCAAACATTCGAGCTAAGTTTATGAAAAAAAAAACAGTTAACCTTCAGGTTAAGTTAACCTTCCATCGCTAATGTCGAAGCCGGACAAAATCTAGCCTGGCAATGAGCTATCTATGATTTAATCAGAAAAGAGGTGATTCGATCCCGCATTGCCAGAATGATTAGACTATAGTGATAATAACGGGCCAATCGGGCCTTAAGAGTTCGGATGTGATGATAAATGAGGGGAGGGGGAGGTATCTGGCATGTTTGAAGGAGTAAGATAATCTTTTTTTTTTTGCATGCCAACCCAATCCACTTGCTGGACTAACTCATCCAAACTCACCTGTGGGCAGACCGGGGTGTGGTGCGAGTTGGACTTCTTCTTGTCGACATCGTCGACAGCCTCGCGGTCAGGTTTGGCCACCTTTTCCTGCGGCGGTTTGCGCTTCCTGCCATATTTCCGGGTCTGGAAGCAGGCCGGAGTCCGGACCTCGCCTGAATTACTGGCCGTCCGGCCGGCACCACGCGGCATTCCCAGACCGGCCAGCCGCCGGACCAGCTCCTCAACGTCGGCCAGCAGCACCGGGTCCACGATGTTCTTATGTCGGCGCTTGAGCAGTTTGATACGCCTGCGTCGGATCAGCATGGAGCGCGAGCTGCGCGCCGGGTCGCCGCCCTGGTCGGGGTCGGTACCGTCCACCTTGGAGCCGGCCGGGCGGGGCGCCGGTGACGCTGCCGCGCCCGTGTCGGTGGCAGCCGTGGTGGTGACCAGGGCGCTGCTGGACGAGAACGATGACGAGGAGGCGGGCGAGCCGTGGTGGGAGCTGGGCGAGTTTAGCAGCTCCGCCACCGACTGCCGCTGCTGGGCGTCCGAGGTGGCCAGGCCGGCGGTGGTGGCCGGCGGCCGTCCCTTGTCCTCGGCCCACGGCGGAGACTGGGACACGGGACGGGTCGGACCGCCCGACTCGGGCACTGAAGGCTCGCTGGACGGCGCGGCCAGCGTGCCCGACACCGGGGTGGCCGCCACCCGCGGCACCGGCTCACGTCCGCCCTGAACGCTGTTGGTCGCATTCGACTCGCCGCCCGCCAGCCAGCCCTTCGTCTCGGTACTCAGCGACGGCGCATGGCGGGGCGGCGCCATCACTTCTGAGGTGCGCGGCGGCGGCGCCGACTCGGATGGCTTCGGTCGGCCGCGGGACCGACTCACGGGCGGCGCAAAACTCGGCTCTTCAGTCCCCCGCACTTGTGCTGGCGACTTAAGCGCACCAGCGAGTTCACTGTCTCGCGATTTCGGCGCACCGTCGTAGTCACTATTCCGCGGAGGGCACATGCCGCGAAGGTGGGAGTTTTTGTTTTCCAAGTTCAAGATCACGGACAAGGACGGCTTTCGCACATGGCTATCACTGGTGAGCGGCATTGCGTATCGCGGCGAGGTTCGTCCGTCGATCTTGACGCAGGGACTGCGTCGGTCCGAGCCGTTGGCAGAATCCTCCGCCGGAGAACACCACCCCTCCTCGCCCTCCGAGCTCTCACTGAGCGCCACAGCGGCGCGCTGGTGCTTGTCAGCCGCACTGACGTCCACACTGGCTCCGACTCGCTTACTGTTACCGTTACCGACGGCGGCCGGGGGCTGCGCCGGCCCCTTGACAGTCACAGGGATACCGGCACTGTGTCGCGCGTTCGTCCGACCCATGTCCCGCCTACTCTCCCACGGCCGCACCAGACTGTGCGCCGACTCGGCGCGGCCCATCGCCGAGTGTTTCAGCTTGTTCTTCCACCAGGTCTGCTTCTCGGGCGTGGTGACCCGCTCGGCACACTCGGCGTCATCCTCGAGCGACTGAAGCGCGGCGCGCACCCCGCCCACATCGAAATCGGAGTCGTCCGACCCGGAGAGCTGCAGCCGCCCGTCCACCTGCCAGAGCGAGAACAGCCTTAGCAACCAACAACGCACTTACTTCACGATCTAGTCACTGTGTCAACTCGAAGGCCCTTTGCCAAAAAAGGAAAAATGACCGGTTAGATTAACAAGTCATGTCTAAATCTACGAACTATGCGAAAAAGTAACTATAGCTGACAAAGAGAGCTAAATATTACCTGATTGTTTTGAATACGTTAGCCTCATTATGACAAATTAATAGTAATTAATTAAGCGTTCAGTGATGGACTTGCCTTCGGAGCTGGTGATAGAACTGCAGAATTGTTAACTGCCTTGGCGGGCCGGCGCTGGGGGCTCTGGATGGACGCGCTGCCGGTTTTCGGGGAGCTGGTGGTGCCGGTCGGCCGCTGCAGGCCGGGGCTGTTGACCTCTGGGGTGGGGCTGGCGGCGCCGGCCGGCCAGCGGGCGCCGCGGGCCGGCGAGGCCTCCGACTGCGGCCGGTGCCGCGGCCGGCAGCCCGCGCGCCGCTCGCCGGTCGGTGGAGGCTCAGCCGGCCGCCAGTCTCTCGACACCGGCGCTCCACAGCTCGAGTCCGGGGAGGCCGGCCGCCGCCGCACGGCCGCCGGCACCGGGTGACCGTCCAGCGCCGACCCGGGGCGCTGGCCGTCCGGCGCCGGGGACTGCCGGGTGTCAGCAGCGCGCGGCGGCTGAGCCACTGGCGCCGCGCCGTCCCCAGCCACACTCTCAGCCACGTCCGACCAGCCGCAGCTCTCCGAGTCCGAGTCACGGCCGCCGGAGCCCGACGACCAGCTGTCCGAGTCAATATCGGACTCGTCACCATCCGAAGACGAGTGAAGGTGTCTACTGGGAGGCGCCGCCGGCGACTGATGCGCCTCCACCGTCTCTGAAGGCTGAAGAAGTCCACGAGGAGGCGATGCGGCGGAAAGAGTCGAAACGCTCCCAGGCGCAGATGGAGGCGAGGAGGTCGGCAGAGGCGACCGTCGCCGCGTCGACCGCAATGACGGCGGTGAAAGCGGAGGCGCCCGTTGCCCGTCGGGCGGCTTCGGCGGCGGTGAAGTTGGCAGTGGTGCAGCCGTTGTTGGTTTCGTTTGAGACGTCGATCGTCTCAGAATCGAAGGCGGTGAACGAGGCGACGTCGATGGCACAGTAGTTTTTGTTGTGTGTGATGCTGATATGGGTAGCAGAGGTGGGGATGATATTGTTGCTTTGGTTTTCGGAGGCGATACTAGTGTCGTGGCTGCTGCCGATGCTGGCGGTCGCAGTGGCGGTCGCAGATGTGGCTGTGGCTGTAGTGATTGTGATCGCGAGGCTGTTGGTGCTGGTGGTGATGGCAGGGGAGGTGAGTGCGGTGGTGACAGTGACGCTAGTGGTGACAGCGATGGCGATCCCAGCTGTGTCCTAGTCGCTATCGCTGACGCTGGTGGCGGCGTCGCCGGCTGTGGACGCAGCGGTCGCGCCGGTCGCGACGGCCGCCGGTCGCGGTGTCGTCTCTGCCGTGACGGCGCTGCTGGCGATGACGGCTGAGGCGGCGTCGGAGGCCGTGGCGATGACGGCGATGACGCCAGTGGTAGCGTGAGTGAAGTCGATGAAGGTGATGGTGGCGGTGATGATGTTGATCTTGGTGTAGCGAGAGGCGTCCGTGACGGTGCTTTCGGACGCGTTGGTTGTGGTACTGTCACTGGTGCTGGCTGTGCTGTGGGAGATTTTGCAGTTGAAGGTGATGATGATGGGTGTGCTAGTGCATGTAGCGATGACGAGGGTGCAAGTGTCTGTTTTGATAAGTGTGGAGTGGGTGATATGGCGGTTGGTTTTGCTAATGGTGTTGGTGTTGTGTTATGTGGTGGCGAGTATATCGACGGCGGTGACGGGTGCCTCAGAGACGCCGACGGTTTCGGAGACAGCTCTGGGGAGAACGACAGTGCCCGCGGAGACTGAGCTAGCAGCGGCGGCGGCCGGGTCGGCGGCGTCTGCAGCGAGGCCGACGGCGGAGAGCCGGGCGGGGACGGGGTAGACGACACAGAGGCAGGCTGAGCCGCGCGCGGAGTCCCATCACCTGGCTGCGGCAGGTCCTGTGGAAACACACAAGCCTAGCGTTACTTTCACGAATTACAGTATCCAATTTATCGAGCATCGCAAGCTTTTACACAACATGGGGTTGGACGAGCACTCGCCTTCAACAGAGCGGAGAGGTTATAAAAATGTGAGCACTGAATACGGTCTCCTTCACGTCGTATAACTTCAACCTTCCCAAGTCAAGCAGATTCGTTTAAACATGAGGACACTGCATTTTTGTCACTGACCCAGATGGCTTTGACGTCTACAGTGGATGGCAGCTCGACGCTATCTTCATCGTCGTCGGCGAGCGGCGGGACCAGCGGCCAGCTGAGGGGCGATCCGTAGCGCAGGGGCGCATCACCGGACATAGCAGGCGCGCCGTCTGCACGACAGATAGAGACAAGGCATAAGATGCCATATGATTAATGATACTGTGATGATACACTTCAATTACATCAGGCAAGGGCACTGAACAAATCCCAATTTTCTGCTGTATTTGCTCGATCTTCCCCAGCATATTTCAGAAAAGCTGAAGCGAAGTCTGCAAGAGTCATGAAACAGCAGTTAGGGAGACAAAATGTTATGACAATCTTATGCCAATCTATAAAAGCCCAGCAAGGAGGGTTGAAGTCCTCCTGAGTTATGACTCAGTCTTGTGGAATGTTTTTTTTTTTTCGCCACCACATCGCATATGCACCCAAACACAGTAACAAGAAGCACTGTTGTGGAATGTAGATGACAATACATTATTACAATTAAAAAAAACAAACATAAAGCTACTGAAGATTCCAATGCCCAATGTTGCCAATATTTAATGAAAATGTGTTGCTAACCATTAATTAGTTTTTTTTTAATCTAAGCCTTATCTTAAATAACAAAAAAGGTAACTGGAAAATACTCTTTCCATTTATCCTCTGACCAATTATCATTATATTTGTCTATGGTTTATCTGGTTCATAACAGAGATATTTGGTAACAATCCATTTTATCCAAAAATGTTCTGCACTGGTAATGCATGTATAAACTGTAAGCCAAGTGAGACATCTCACCCTTCAGACTCTGGCTGACTTACCATCAACATTATTTGATTGACTAACTCCCTGCTAGGATAATAAGAGTGAGGGGCAGAATAATGCAGTACATAGCACACAAATATTGAACTAGGTACTGGGGGCTTCTGTCTCTTTAAAAAATAATAGCATTACTGCCTTCGCAACTCACATATCTTCATGCTTTATGTCTTTTCCTTACCCAAATAATATTGAGTTACAAATAGCATCACTTTTTGCAGTTTCTTTCAATAATTTATCAGTCATTCATGCCAATACATCAGTAATACATGTATTTCAAGTCATCAGTTTACAATCTAAAGAAGTGTTTACATATATAGGCATCAAAGATAGCAGCATCAATACCTAGGTAGTAGGTATTTGTTCAAACAATTTCAGTGTCAGAAAGAACTGGTAGGTGAGGCTAGGAAAAGTATCATGATTTATTTACATGCTGTCAACTCAAACTCAGGGGTTCAGATAAAAAATGAAAACACAAGCCAAAAATGAGTTGTGAAAATGATTATTTCTGCTGTAGGACCCTGGGCTACCTTTCATGTCAAAATTCTTCACATATTCTCAACACTAACTTACTATGAAGTGAACATCACAGTAGAGGGACGCCGGTGAAAACAGGGCGCCGGAGGGCATATTAGTCACGTGACATTTGGAACTTGTCCCACTTCATAGGCCTTCTATATCCCAAACGTCACGTGTAAATTTAACGAACCTTGATCAAATCGCCCCAGGCGCCCTGTTTTCACCGTCGTCCCAGTAGAGCATGCATCTTAAAAAAATGCAAAAATGTTACATTTCTTTTCAAAGAGTCAAGAAAAGACCTTTTAGCAATTAGATAGGGGTACCTACCTTTTCACGTTTTGTCTGAACTTGTTTCAAGCCGGTCAGTGGTTACAATTATCAAAATATTTTAAGGCTGCTGTAGTACACCCGCAACAGTACTAACGGGAGTCCATTGCAGCCTGACATATTAACTATAAAAACCTGACCATTTTTTCCTATTTTCCTAGTATTTCAATTTTCCCTGAGTTTTCCTAGCTTACCTATCTATCTCCACTGAACCCAGGGCCTTATGACCCAAGTGAAATGACTACATAATAATTTTGAATGGCGAAACTCTTTAGACGTAATCATTTAAACCTTAAAATAACACATAACATATGAAACAATAGAACTATCAAAGAATATCTAAACATTTACCATCTTTTGTCATAGGCACGGATTAGCGCGAAGTAAAACCGAACTTCAATCCCAATTCCCAAGGGCGCCGAAATCGAGATGTACTTACCAAGCAAGCCCTGCAACAGTACAGTAGTAAACCACGATTCGGGGTCCAAATCACTTGAAAATTAGTAATTTGTGCAAAAATATTCAACAAAGATTCATCCTAATGGCTTGTGTATAACGCACATTACAATTTGTAATTGACGAACAATGCGCCATATTTGGTCGCATATTTACGTCTGGACAACGAGTTGCGTTGGAGAGGCCGGAAATAGTGGCGATTTCAGGACCGCAAGAATGGACCGTCATGGGAATGATTCTTTTTTAAACCGTGCACTGTTTTTAGCTGAAATTCAATAGTTACCACAAAATATTTTGTAATTACATTTCCACTAAGAATGAATGCCATCAGCGTTAAGTTTTACTTCTATTGCATTTTGTCAAAAAGCATATAGTGCTGTTATATTGCAGTTTTTGCGCGTTTGTTACAAAATATGAAGCGAATAAATATCATGTTGACCTAAAGTTCATCTGTTGCATGATTGACTAGGCAGGTTTACACATTCCAAGTTTATCTTATTGGATCAGAGGTGTCATTGTAATTCATCAGTGCCAGAAGTTAACTTGAGGGAAAGCTATGCTAATTCAAATTGCTCTTGTCCATCCACTAAAAGTTATTAAATATTTTGCTTTGTGTATTCCAAGAGGAGAGGGAACTATTTTATTTGTGCCTTCATGCCAGAATTGAAGGCGGATCATTAAATTTTCAACGCAGCTTATAAACAAGCAGTAAGTCTTTCTCGTATAAAAGCAGTGGCTAAGAAGAAAAGGTTGATCAATCCTGAAGTTCAGTCATCGCACCTCAACTTGGCAGCAAGATCCCCAAGGACAGAGGATATGTTGTATACCTGTCCTGTAAATCAAAGCATTTTTGTGCCTGTAAAGGCTTAAGTTATTTGTGGTGTGTTCGGAGTGAGGCTATATGGCCGTTTTTGTTGTATGTTTATGTGGAGATTGAATATAACTGTGACCCTGTGCTTGTTGTATACTTACTACAGTCAAACAGGGAACCAGCACATTCACATAACATACTCACCTAGCACCTAACTCATAGCTGTGTCCCACAGGATTTGTACTTGTTCATCTCTCAAGCATTAACAAAGCACTAAAGTACCTGGCTTAGTTATCATTTCCCACATTTTTCTGAGCATCTAACATGACATACAGCAGTGCAGAGCAGCTTCAGAGAAGAAACACTTTAAACGCACAGACTCACACCAACCACCCAATGAGCCAGTTCCTCAGTTGACTGTTTCCCTGGATGCAGCTTGGCAAGGTGAGCTAACTGTTGGCAAGTTTAAGTTAGCAGGTAAGATTGAGTTAGGGTGAGTACCTACCTATAACTGGGTGCTACTGCCATGCAGGTCTTGGCTAGGTTGCAAATATGTGTGATGATTGAGGTTAGGTCAGCTGTCGGGTTAGTCAGGTATGCGCACTGTTCAATCAGGTCACATTTCTATGGACACTTGGGGCAAATTAAAACCTAATATAAGCTAACCCAACTAAACCTACACAATTACTGACTATAGGAACGAAGCACCTACCTACTTGTGCCTGCATCTCATACCATGTCAAAGTAAAGTTCCTTGGTGGAAGATTACCCTCAGTACTTTTTATCCCAGCCCTGTGGAGAAAACTAATACTTCTAAGTTCTGAGTCACTGCTGGCCATCCACAGAAGAAAAAAACGCTGAAGCTTTGCCATTGTATACTGGACCAACAATCACTATCACAAATGACTAATGAACACATATGATAACATCGTTGCATGGATTGTCACATTGACAATTTTACTACAATCCTTTTTTCAAGAAATACAGTAATGATTAACAGGAAAATCAACATAAAGTGGATTTAGTGATCCAAGCTTTCTCCTCCAGTAGCAATGGAATGATCGCATGTTTCATTTGCCAGACACTGAGTACCTGATGCACATTACCGTCTGCATAGCATCTAATCACAGTAAAGCTCCCCGAGTCCATTCATTCTAGATTTTTCACTTGATAGTTAGCACTAACTTATCTTGTTGTTGTAAGTTATCATTCAATAATATGCACTCATCAGTCAACATTTTCTGGCATGATACTGCTCAAGTGCTCAGCGTGATCTTCAGTATTGATCCAAGATCTCCTGCAAAATTATAGCTTGTTTTTGGCCAATAATGATGAGCTCTTTTAATTTTACTTTTTCTTGCTGATATGTGAGCCCGATCAACCTGCGTTAATCAACCAAAATTTCATAACTTCCAAGTTCAACTTGATATTGTTATTGCTCAGGGTCAGGGTCAGGACCTCTGTCAGCCTCCTTGATACTTGGGATTGTTTTCATTCAACATGCTTCTTAAATATGATATACGTCAAACCCATCCAACAAAACGACGTACAAGAGTACCTACGGAAACCACCAGATAAACTTGAAAAGGGCCTTTTGGAACAGAGCCAAGCGGTGCTCCATTTGTTTGTTTACAATGACTGTAGTGCTGATGTATTTTTAGGACTCTGACGGTCGGCTTATAAAAAAATGAAACGTTTTTACAAAAGTTGTAGGGCAAGCAATATTTATCTGAAAGAACTAAAATATTCAAAAGCCAAACACTATGAAATACATGAATGGGAACGAAAAAGTAACCCAAAAATCCAGCCTAATCACCGGCTCCTAAAACTGCGACAAAGTCAACACTTTTCCCCGCAACTCGTTGTCCAGACGTAAATATGCTATTTGGTCGCAGGCAATATAAAGTACGTTCGTCAATTTGGCAGCAGGTTGATATTTACAAACCCTCAAGGACGCATCCAACCGGCCGCAGCTAAATCAAAATGCTTCCCAAATCTTAGGCAAAGTTCTATGTTCCAGAAATCGTCGCAATAGACTCTTGAGGGTCCTAAACCGACAAACGATCTAACAAAAGATCGAAGCTGGTCGAGGCCGATGTCACAATTGCAGCCGATAATCTCCGTCAGAAAATCATCCGAATCTTACCTATATATCATCTCGTTCCCACCATAATTACCACTTCCAGCCTCTATTCCTACACCGTACTGGCGCGATAAATCTGACATCGGCATCTGGTGGACTGGGGTGCAGGTTTACCCTAGAAGCTCCCCAGCAAAATCATATCACCACCAGTCATTAGCATCGCACAACCGTACTTGCTCCATGCTGCATCCTGACCGCTCTGAGCTATCCTGTGTGAGATCGTAACGCGATTTGAAAAAAAAAAAACTGTATGAAAAGTTGACGAGAAAACGTTCTCTCCGGAAGTATTCATACCACCATTTACTATCACAAGACGCCAAATTAAAAAACAATCTATATTATAACGTATGGCAGCAAGGCATTTGAAGCGATGGCATCGGTGATTTCACAGACGAACTTCTCGAGCACGTCGGCTCAATGGGCGTCGAGTCGCTGGAGGACGTGCGTCACGAACGGGTCCTGAACGCCCCGCAGCTCGTCCATGAGTCGCGCGACCGCCTTCTGGCGCTGTTCCGGCTCCAGGTCGCCAGCGGCCAGCGCGTCGTACTTGGCCAGGAAGGAGTCGATCGCGTCCCCCGTCTCTGTCTGCGCGACAGAGGAGAGTCAGCACCGCCAGCGTATTTGACAAAACAACCACCACGCATTGCTCACGTCGTATTATGTTGGTGTTTTCACTGTTTTGAAGGTGAGGCGATTTAGACGGTTATCTACGTGTTACCGTGATTAAAGTCAGAGTGTCTCCTTCAAGCATTTTAGTTTTAACGGGAAAATTTAGAACAGCACAGTACAGTTCTGAAACTTCTGAGGAGACAGTGAATGATACAGCGGATGCTACCGCAGCTTTAACTTATAATGTCCCGGGAAAGCGCGGCCGTTACCTGGCTGGACTCGGTGCGGGAGAATTTGGTCGGTCGGTCACAGTAGCAGTCCTCCAGCTCGGCCGCTCGACGCCGCGATTCCTGCAAGATCACACGGTTACTTCAATACATACATACATATGTAAAAGACGACCTAATTTAACCAGATACATTGCCACCCGTGTAAATCTCGGCCATAAACAGCCCGGTTATGGGTCGATTTACACACAAAGATAGCTGTGGAAGTAACGTCAAGGAATCGATGCGTACCTGTCAGTGCCATACATATGAAAGGGAAGGTGGTCAGAAAACAAACCGATATAAAATTGCACCGCAGGTTTAACAACGACCTAGTCAGCGCCACGTCAGTTTGTATAGGGGTTGAGTCACGAATGAAAAATATGTGCAAACAGCAAAACTGCAGAGCTTATCCGACAGCGATGAGGCTCACCTGCAGGACGGACTCGGGGAAGTGGGCCAGCTCGGCCACGTGGATGCCGAAGCTCTTGTCGCAGACTCCCGGCTGGACGTCGTAGAGGAAGGTGAGCCGGCCGCCGCTCGTCAGCGCCGTCACGTGCAGGTTGCTGGCCGCCGGCAGCTGCTCGGCCAGCGCCGCCAGCTCGTGGAAGTGCGTGGCGAACAGTGTGTAGGCGCCCAACTCGTTAGCGATGTACCTGTCGGCGCACATGCCGATCGTTATAAAGGCTGGCAGGCCAATTGTGGCAAAATGTCATTCATTTTGACGCCAGTACACGGACGATTTGATAGTTTTCCACTAAACATAAATATGGGTACGTTAGAAATACGTTTTCAACGTATTTAAGTACGATGAATTTGACAGCAAAAGTCCGTCAGTGAAATCCGATCAAAAACATCTAACTGGTCCTAAGCGACTCTGGAAGAAATAAAGAAAACTAGCATATTACGGGAAACAATATCAATAGAAAACTGAGCCTCAGAACACCGTTGACTTAGGCGGTGTATAAGTGTCGGACGCTACCGGTGCAGTACTCACTCTGAGATGGCCCAGGCCAGTCCGAAGCCGTCATAGGTTGAGGTGCCGCGGCCCAACTCATCGATTACAACCAACGAGTCCTTGGTAGCTGCCTGTGATCACAGCACAACAAATGGTCACTGGTCAATTAACCCGCGAGTTGCTGGGGGGGGGGGCGTTAAACGCCCCCACTTTTTTCGCCGGGCCATAGCATAAAAACGGCCGCGCGCCAAATTTTGGGTACCTGTAGGAAATTGATTGAAGTGTATTGTGACAAAGCTTCAAAAAAATCGGTCGGAAAATTTTTGAGATATCGAGGTTTTAGTGACGTCATGATTTCTGAGTTTTCGACCAAAAACGGCATATGTTCAAAAAATCATATAAAATCACAGAATAGACATACAGACATACCATGAACGCCAATAGACTGCCAATACCATGGACAATCAAATGGCTATCTTCGATTGTTGATTATCGTTCCGCATTTTCCAAAATCTTGAACTGAATCTTGGCAATTTCTCGTGACTACTTCACGACCATGATACATGCATTTCATAAGTTGAACTTTTTTAGCCAAACACGTACACATATGGTAAAATGAATGTCACCATCGTGTTCTACGCCCCAATTTACCCATAAAACATGTGTCACAGGCTGCGAATATCAGTTTTGATTTTCGGGGATATGTGCCTGCCCGGTTGACCTGACCTTGACCCTGACCTATGCTTGACTGACCCCTACATGGAGCTGACACTCTTGTAGGCCTTATATGATGGATTGTGCACCGTTCTGACAGAGTTTATGACGAGAGGCGCCCATTGCGAAGTCCTGAAGTCCATGCCACTGAAAGCCCGATTTCAGGTGTTTGACCTGACCTTGACCTGACCTGTGACCTCAAAATTCAACTTTAAAGTACTCATCTGAAGCGTCTCGTCGCGTTCTTTCGTTTGCCGCCTCGTGCGTTTCGCTGCGCCTATTGGTTCTCCAGTTATCGGCTGGGGGCGTTTAACGCCCCCCCCCCCCCCCCCCCCAGCAAACGGTGGGTGGCGAAATACCCCAGCAACTGCCGGGTTAATAGCCACCAGCACAGCATACCAGGATGATCTCTAAGTGTCATCACAAAACATGGTGGTGACATATCAGTAGCCTCGTGACTTTACTACACGATACAGCACATCAGGGTGGCCATGGGACGTCATAACATCAAGCGTGGTCACTGCACGTTACCATAACACACCAAAGTAGCTGGTAAACGACTGTAATCACGGAATGAATTACGTCAATAAATCCGGCAGCTTCAGTTTCGTGACATAAGATGCTGCGATACCACATGAACCGTCAGCCGAACCACTGTTGGGATATTGTGACCGCGGACCGGCCGTGTGGGGCCGTGGAACAGGGCGGGGTCGGCGGCCCGGCCGTCCGGCCGGCGAGCCGCCTGACCGCCGCGCGGTCATCGCGCATGCGCTCTGTACCGTGGTTATATAAGGGTTATATTGGAGCACCTATCCGTGCTTCTATCCTCAGGATACTGAAATCCTTCTCCTCCACGCCACAACCCCCCTCCGGGCTGGACAGGTAACTTTATCTCATGCGGGCTACTCCCTTGGAGCGGCACCGCTGCTCCTGAGGGAGCGCACTCCGTAGCCGGGTGCAGTGAGTACCTTGGGGCTGGGTGGCCTGTCCTTTTGGACAGGCTCAGCCCCGGCGACTCACTAGGATGCCTGCCCAGACCAATGTCTCCCCCTAATTCCTATCATCCTTCCGGCTAGAGTTGCAAAATTTCCCTACCGCACTACCGGCATGCCGGTAATTTTTCACTACCGCAGGTTTTTTCGTGGTATCTGACATGTCTTGCCGGTAGCATGCCGGTATTTTTGATTTTGCACAAAAAATTATCAGCATATGATTCAAACTTCGGACACTAAGAGGCTGATGAATTGTAATAACAGCCACTGCAAAATACATTTTGTGGTAGAAGTTCCATTGCTAAGGGTAGGGGTAACACATGAACCTCAGCATTTCACAGGTTTGGCTCTAATTAGAATTGTCAGGAATCTACTGTGGTCTACGAGTTCAAGAATGCAGGTTTTTTGGTATGCCGGTAATTTGGCGGTTTTTTTGCTTGGGGCGTGGTAGCATGCCGGTATCCCAGAAAATTTTTGTGGGGCGGGGCGGTGCCGGTAGCAGCCCATTGGGAAAACTTTGCAACTCTACTTCCGGCTCTCCAATGGTCTTGTCGACCGAAAGGGCCTAACCCAACAAAACAAACAACCAGACTGGGTCAGTCGGCGGGTCGCCGTGTCCGTGCTTGGTCGTCGGTCGCTGGAAGCACAATACACCGTGTCGTGGTATATGCAGCTTTATTTGGCCCTAACACCACGGCACGTCTATCACGGTGGAGGCACACAGCTGTCTCACCCTGAGGATCGCAGCCGTTTCGAGCATCTCGGCCATGAACGTGGAGACACCCCTGGCCTGGCAGTCGCCGGCGCCGACTCGCGCCATCAGAGCGTCCACGGGCCGCAGCTGGGCAGCCTGTCCGCAGAGGTCACAGCTCAGTCAGCACCGCACGGTGCAGACATAGCGCACGCCCGTCAGCAACATATACAGCAGCCAGTGTTCCAAAATTTGTCAGTTTGGGTGGGAAACGACAACCAAATGAAAACTCAAACTTTTCGAGACCATTTTCCTCCCACAAATCTAGCAAAAAACAAAAATTTGTGTGGGTGGTCGTTTTACATACCTACTACATCCTACCACAATAGTGTATAGAAATGTATACTTAATTTGAGCCATAGCTGATAACATGAATGCTATCTATGTTTGAGCCTTACCCACTCTTTTTGGGCCTTGCCTGACTGTTAATTTTCCACTCTCATCCATGTTTTGGCGATCAATTTTCCCCTTGACACCCAAGCCAAAATAAAATTTTGGAACTGTTTCCATCCTTCCCAATAAAACAGCGTCCCACCAGCCGATTCACCAGAGCCCGCGCGCGGTGTGGGTGGGCAGACTGTGACGTAGTCTCTCACCTCGCACGGTACGAAGGAGCCGATCTGGGCCATCACCACTGCCACTGCCACCGAGCGGATGTAGGTGGACTTTCCGCCCATGTTCGGACCCGTGATCACCTTGAAGGTCGACACGCCTGTGGAATAAATATTATTGTCGTGGATTGATTGTGATGCGATAGATTTGTATCATAGTTCAAGAAAGGTTCTTAAGAGTTATCTTATTTCAACGGCATTCGCAGGGGACGTAACATAACAACTCATCAATAAGATCGAACCACAGCATGTTGCATTCAAGACAGATGTATGCAGATTTTAACAACCGTAGCATCTCTCACCTCTTTCGAACTCCACGTTGTTTGGAATGTAAGCAATGCCATCCTGCATCTCCACGCAGGGGTGTCGCAGCTGGACGAAACGCGTGGCGGCCGGCTGGTCGGCGGGCACCAGGCGGGGCCGGACGTACGGGGTGGGAGCCGAGAGACCGGCCACCGCCAGCGCCGACAGCACGTCCAGCTGGGCAGTCAGAGAGCCCAGCGACAGCATCGGCTCGGTGTAACCCGCTGCGGCGGGGGCGGGACAGGTCAGACAGCGGACCGGCGCGGTAGGACGGCTGGTCGACCGTGATCAGTGCTGCCCAGAGCGTGACAGGGTGGTGAACAGGTCGTGTGCGAGACTGAGCATGGGACCATCCCAGATCAGTCAGCTAGCTCGATATCTGATGGCACCGCCGTGCCCCAGAAAATCAGCACTTGTTAGAAAACGAGGGATGATTTGCGAAGTTAAAAAGGGGAAGGCAATTTAGCTAATAGTATCAGTAGTACATCATAGGTACCTAGATGTTACTCGCCTGCTTCACCGGCCTATACTACAAAACACCTGACCCAGAGACGCTCGAAACAAAATTGAAAGCTGCTGACCTCAGGAATTAGTCTGGAGGCTAAAACTACCGTTCTCACCGGCGATTTTGACGATCTCCTGAATGACGGTGCGCTGCTGCTCCCCATACGCCGCGCGCGCCCGGAGGTACTCATCACTGGCGTTCTCCAGCGGACCAGAGCGAAACTTGACTCCGTTCTTGTTCGTCTCGACGGTGTGATAGAGCTTGTTGTTTCGCAGCAACTTCTCATCCTGAAAAACATGACAACACTTTTTACAAGCGGAAGACGGGGACACAGAGGACGACAAAGAACGCGGGAGCACGGGAAACTTAGGCACGTACACCACGGGCACAAGGGAACATAAGAAGTTCATCGGATAACGGAAAGGTTGCCCATCCGAAACGGAACCGAACCGAACCCAACCCAACCCAACAGAACGGAACAGAACTGCTACGCCCAGACTTCGGTCGGCCAGCTCCCATCTGCAGTCTCACCTTCTTCAGGACTCGGAAGAAGAATCCGGTCTGCGGCGTCGATTCGAGCTTGATGCCTTTGTGGGGCTCGAGGCCGAGATCCCCGGCGACCCGGCGCAACTGTTTCTCCACCAGAACCTCCAGCTCGTTCAGTTTCTGACGCAGCTCTGTCCGACAGAAGGAACTATATGAAAACCTGGAATACAGCTGCCTACGACCGGAGATTGTGTTTGCCACTCGGGACCCAACGACAAAACCACTCTCGTGCAGTTTCGTCGAATGGGGGATAAACATCGTCAGGTTGTACAACCAATGCAAATGCAGCAGCTGCAGATGACCGGCCATTGCCGGATTGATGGTCAGCTGAGGATTATTACCTATCGTGCATTCCGGACAAATGTCCAGCATTATTACCCTGCAGCTCGTCGTCGAACTCTGGGCGCACCACGTAGTCGCCGTCGTCAGTCCTGTCCAGGTCTACCGTGGTCTCCACCATCTCCACGAACTTGGCGAACTCCTGCGGCGGCCCAGAGACCGGCAACCGGTGAGACATTGCCGTCCGAGATCGGCACATTGGGGCCACAGGTTCACAGGCACAGCACAGGGCGGAAGGGAGATGGCGCCTACAAATGTGGGATATTCATTTCTGAAGGCAGCCTTTCCCTACTTGTGGGTGGCATTTACCGATAAACAGCCTCTTTGTGGGAAAGGGGTCGGCGAAAAGTCCGCTACACTACATAATCCAGCATCTGCTTAACTAGCTGCTCCTAAGTCGCGGAATTGCCTGGTAAAATTATTTCCTCAGAGGACTTGCCTGGTGGGTCGTGCGCAGCGGTTCCACGAAAGTGGCCTTCACCACAGCTGAGTGAGGTCCACAGTACGCCTCGAGTCGCTCCAGCAGGGCCGGCATACTCCTCACCGCCTGGTACACCCTGAAACACAACACAGCAGTGGGACTGAAGGCAGTCCCGGCCGGACTACTGACAAAAGAACCAAAACAAACCTTCGGTTATTAGTTTGACAGATCACACACCATTATTCAATCAGACGCTGGTCCACAACGCACCGTGAACATCCTACTCCCTTCAGAGGCCGCCTACCGTCCGGTTCCCGCTCCTCTACATACACACACACGCAGTCTGACCTCCCTGCGTTAGGCGTCAGGGGTTTACCTGCAGCAGTCCTGCAGTCCAGCCTTGCCGCGCTGCAGACGTCGCACGAGCCGCTGCAGGTCGGGCAGGCGGCGCAGGTGGTCGTCCCGCAGAGCCTGCCGCAGCTCCGTGTCTTCGGTGAACATTTCCACCAGGTCCAGGCGCTCCTCTGGCAAACAAACAGCAGGTAATGATGCATACAATTTACAAACATGCATGAACACACGTCACCATCCTCGCAAATTACCATATCAATAGCCTATTTTTATTGCTGAGGAAACACGCCATAAATATGACCGTGAAGGCATACATGGACCACAATTTATGTGCTCAAATATTGCTCACCGGCCGCGGCGGTACCCACCGATCTGCCGGTGGTCGACCAGCGGCTGTTTGATCCACTGGGATAGCAGACGCGAGCCCTGCGAGGTCCGGCACTGGTCCAGGAGGCCCAGCAGGCTGTGAGTCGGCGAGCTGTCCTGTCGGCAGCAGCAAACCCCACAATCAGAGACACAAACAAACCTCGCACTCAGGCAAACTCGAAGGTCCAGATGACACAATTCCTAGATCAGTAGGCGGAACTATGGTCATGAGTACCCAAATATAGGAACGTTCCCATTTTTGGGAACGGAGTTCCCAAATATGGGAACGGGCGTTCCCATTTATGAGAACGGAAGGCAATTTTTCGGCCGTTCTCCCACTAAAACTCAAAAGTGCATCACGTCTCAAAAAAGTGCACGCTGATTTAAGTATCTACTAAATCTCCATAAAGTTATCTTTAATCTGACCGTGGAACAAGGAAATTGACCGTGGAATGATATTTTTAATGATTTTTTGAAAATGACAGAATGGTGGAAATATGGGTTATACGACATTTAACATGCAATTTTAAGGAAAATGAAGCATTTTTTAGTTTGAGGTAAAGTATAATAATTTTCGCCTGGTTATGAACTTTCATACTATCGACACCAGATGCTGACAAATGCAAGCGAAGACGCGGACGGTCCCGAGGTAATATTGTTGACTTTTGTGTCTGGGCGGACGACCGCGTGGAACGTGAGTGAATTTACCGAGCTACTGTTGTAAACTCAGTTTAAGCGGTTGAAAATTATCCAGCTGTATTTTATCATCCCGGAAAGACATATTTTATTTGGATGCTAGCTGTTTAGAGTTGTTTTATAAGGAGCGTCATGAGCGTGGTTTTTGTCTTCCGTGTTTCTAAGCGTGATCGTTTTGGGGGAATTTCTCTTATATAGCTCGCTCTGTGTGGCTTATTTATAATTTTTATGCTGATTTCGATAATTCCTCGTGCCCATCCTACCAGGCCTTTTGCCACTTACACTCATCAAGAAAGGAAAAAACTAGATTTTCATTGGGACTAGGTGTTTTGAGGGTGTGACATATTCAGCGTTCCCATTTTTGGATACTTCCTTGTACTCGTCAACTATCGGTGATAAACAGACAGGTGCTTGACATGTCTCCACCCTCAGCGCGGACGGTGGATATAGGTATGGAAGACCTTGTTGAACATCGCTGAGCGTTGTGAATTACGTAATCCTGCAGAGGGGGGCCGGGGGCGTGCCCGCTGCGAGATCGACGGGAATAAAAGCGCAGAAGACCGGGCGAAACATGCGACGGTCTTGCCGGAAAGGTCATCTGATGATTGTTGCGTTAACAATAATTTGCGACGTTGGACGTGATGCTTGTTAATGAAAAGAGCCCCTGAAAGGCGTCGGTGAAATCGTTCCCAATTTTGGGTACGCCGTTCCCATAATAAGGAACGCTTGCAGCGCCAGTGTACGAGAGCGTTCCCAAATTTGGGCTCGCGGCCCGGATAATGGACTGCTTTAGAAATAGGGGAACGATTTGAAACTACGATGGGCCTTACAATATCAAACTCTTTCCCAACAATATTGAGACAAATATCAGGCGGTTCACGATCGTTTTATATTTTTTGGACGTCATTTAACGGTTCTTTTTCTTGTTTTAAATAATGCCTACATGGCGTTCCCATATTTGGGTTTATCGTTCCCAAACATGGGAACGAAAATGCGTTCCCGAAAATGGGTACGCTTGACCATAGTTCCGCCTACTGAGATCGCAATATGAACGCTCATCAAACCATTGAATCTGAGATACACATCGAGCAAGCGATACAATACCCCCAGCGCTTCTCCACCTAGCTGAGTACGAGTGTGTCCATTTATGCTGCTGCATCCGTGCGTGTGTCCGTGGGTGTCTGTGCTTGTTTCTGTCTGTCTGTCTCTGTCTTTGTCTCTATATATGTCTCTAGTCTGCCTCTGCTTCTGTGTCTCTGTTACTCACCTGTGGGGTCGGCAGCAGGTTGAATGCCTCGATGGCGGCTGTGTCCAGACGCATGTACTGCCGCAGGTCAAACGTGCTGAGACTGAACTGTGCCATGCTTCCCTCGTCCGACATTAGCTGAGCGAAACACGCAGGTAGCACAGGTCAGTCAGCGCACGGACCACAGACGTAGCGACAGATCTGTATTAAAACGAAACACAGACGCTGCTATAGACTGTCACCAACAGAGCTGGAATCTGAAGGGCCACAGACGCAAGTTATTGGATGACAGATTAGCCCTTTGCAACGCATTCCACAGATACAGAAGTTTGTCGAGGACTTCGACAAAATGCAGAATATACGGATGGGACGTTATCGCCGGTCTTACCCGCAGGTATTTGATGAGCGCTGCGGTGGCGGCCATGGCGTGGGTTCGGCCCGCCTCGGGCAGCAGGGAGGCGTCCGGCTGCGTGCCGCCTGTGAAGCGCAGCAGACGGCTCAGGTCGCGGAGTGCGTCCGGAGCCGAGAAGTCACCGCGCGGAACCTCGGTGACCAGCACCCCGGCCCGCTGCATCACCTGGTGGGGGTCACCGGACATTGGGCTGAGTATCGTACCGCATACGGGTAGATGACAGCGATCGGACGGATCCAAATTAGCAAAAGACACAATATATTGGTGGTAAGATCTAATTCAGCAAACGTAAAGAAACTATACCTCTGAGAAGAGCTTGTCATAGCCACACAAGTAAAAAGCACATCTTTTTCAGGCTGATGGTCGCACTGGTATTTCTGCTAGTGCGATAAATCGCAACACTGCAACTGATTGATAAGTGATCTTGCATATTCCATACCAGACTGCTTAATTTGCACGGCGGCGGCGTCGCTCGTGCACGTCAGGCGTCTTACCTGGCCGACGGCGCTGCCGGCCGGGTCGGTCGAGGGTGGCGCCGGCCGTTCACTATAGATGGCTTACCTGTCCGATGGCGCTGGCGGCTGGGTCGCCGGCAGCCACCAGACACTCGGTGGGCGCCAGTTGGACGACCAGCGTCTCCAGGTTGGGCAGGAAGCCGCTGTCAACAAACTCGGCCACCTGCAGTCGGCGCACACAGCCGTCTCCGAAAGCGGCGCCCACCACCTGCCAGAGCACGGCCAGAGACGTCACAGCACGCCACATTCAAAATACGTCTAGTAGAATAAATACAAAACACGTCTAGGGCACGAGTAGAAGGGGTAACACTCACGAACGATTACTGGAAGGCAGCTTGGTTATGGAGTCGATGAAGATGCTTTACGAGTCACTATAAACAACGTTAAGCATGGCGTCCCGGTATCAAAGTGTTCCCGTGATATTGTCAGGCTAGGGAGTGTGCAGTGTCCACTGACCGTCGAGTTATCCTGCTGAGTCGTTTTGATCGCCAGCACTCCGCCACTCTCCTGTACACCAGACGAGCCAAACAGCAGCTCTTCAAACTGGGCCAGGTTCCCCGGTGAGGCCTGGCGAGACGAGAACGATCGGTCAGGGACGGTCACCTTCGGCGCTACCTGTTAGCACCATCGTGAAAAGGGACAAAGAACTCATAGAAGCGAAACTGTCATGCGAGGCATTTTGAAGCTGATTGTAACTATCCGTTTTAAAAAGGCTTTGCTCACGCAAAACTAGCCAGCAGCAGAATTCTTCGGATCTAATGGCCAATCTACCGTTGATAAATGGACGGCAAGCCTTCATAAAACAATCATAAAATAATAAAATGTTGTGAATCGAGGTGAATCAGAGAGGGAAATGTAGATCCGTCCCTTCGACATAAATATCAAACAAATCGTCACCAGCTAGCTAGTCTCGAAATTCAAAACTCAGGACTCGTGGTAGTAAGATATCGCGGCATATTCAAGACTAACGGAAAGGGGAGAGAGGGCGCCGTTAGTGCCGGGAGCCGGCCGACCGGGACGCGCTGGGTCTGACCGCTCTGACCTGGGCCTCCAGTCTCCAGTCGGCGCTGTTTCGGCTGGCGGTGCCCACACAGCCATACACCTCCACTCGATACCGCAGCACCAGTAGCAGCTCCTTGACGAAGTTCTCAAAGTTGAGCTTGCTCAGCGTCACGTAATCCAGTGTTTTCTCGCCTGAAACACGGTTGGAATGTAAGAGGATGTAGGGCTAAAAAAAAAAACGGAAACGAAAACCAGTCATACGGATGCTTCAGCACTATGACGCTATCGAAAACTCTTTACAGAAATGTTCGCTCAGCAGAAAACACCTGCCGGGCGGGTAGCGGACTGGGAACTGACCCTCGCGGAACTGTCGGATGACCGAGGTGGTCTTGAAGACGCGCTGGGCGGCCACCTGGGCGTCTGCGCCGTGCACCGTGTAGAAGGCGCCGCGGTCAAACACGCGGATCGTGGTGGCCGGCTTCTGCGGACAGAGCGGCGCACAGACCGGTGGCGGCCCGTCAGGCGTCCGCAGCGACCATGTACATACCCTCAGACAGCGCGGCAAAAAGGGAAACGTCTTCAAACGACAACGTCTAGGTAAGAGCTATGACGTCATTTGACAAGCAACGCTCTAAAATTCGAAAAAAAGATTATCTTAGCTTAGGACTTGCCTAGAAACTGTACCCATTAATGTCAAATCCCACATAACAGCCGACATCACCTCGTTCGTAGAAGTGCACAACTTCGATGCTTACCTCCGGTAGTTTGTTGAAGTACGACTGAAACGCTCCTTCCTGAGACACATCTGTAAATATTGAGTAGAAATTAAAATACAAACGCACACACCCGCATTCGAGAAGCATCAAGGAGCATTTCATTGAACACAACGCACGACCGGTATAAAACGTGGCAACAAGCCGCCGGTCGCTAATCAATGATATTAAGTTGTTTTGAGCATTGTCACATTAACATTCTGAAGATAAACCGTATAATAACCAAAATAACAGAAAAAGAAGTTGCCTCGGGATAAATTACCTATACCCGAAAATATTTTTCATAGTTTCTGGAAAGAAGAACTTAATCAAAGATGAGTCCTAGATGACACTACATATGTGGACTAGTGTGCCTGTCGAGTGAGATAACGGGCGTACTCGTAAATGCAGCATCTCACTTATAGTATTTTTGACAATTATAGCATATACTACGAGTTTTACGCAAGGGTTATTGTCTTTCACGCTACCTGTTATTTCTTGTTGAATGGGTTGAAGTTCCATTTCACCTGCTTTTTGAGCGCTCACAAATTCCAAAACAGATAAGCCTGGAAAAGAGGAAAACTTTCAGTTGTACATCCTTAAAAACATACAAAATGAGTGCAGCTTTTGTTTGCAACCAAACCTTTTGCCGGATCCTACTCGGATACAGTAGGTGAGAATGACAGGCGCGGAGCTGAACCACAACGAAATAACAAACAGACGTAAGGTGTCGAACATCGCAAGTGGACAATTATCACATGGCGCCATATGCATTATGCATTTCAAAGGTCCTTAGATCACGGTGAAGTAGAGGAGATGCAAAACTCCACCGTCTTCTGGTGCCGACAAACATCCTATGCTCCGAACGACACCGACCAAGACAGCGACCGACATGAGACCGGAGAGAATGAGAGACATAAGACTATTTGTGCCATTTTAAAATTTCAACTGCTTTATTTCAAGAAAATCTAGGTCCTGATTATCTTGACAAACAGGCAGGGCCTCGTCTAACATGTTAACTGGGGGGGCAATTGCCTCCCCAGTCGAGCGGATTGCCCCCCCAGTGGCCAACATTTGCCCCCCCCCCCAGTCAACACGTGAACTTCTCACAAAATTACCTTATCGGCAATACGTTTTGCTAGGAGTCTTACATGGATTTAACGAGAAACATTAAATGATTTGTTCAATAACTGTTCATGGCTACGGGAAAAGCCAGAGTTTTGTGATTTTCAGAGCTGAGAGCGCCAATTAGCAAATTGTCAAATGTCAATTAGCAGAGCTGGCCAGTGACCCAACTCGTGTTTGCCCCCCCCCCCCCCACACACACACTCAATCAAACGCCCAACACGGATAAGTATGTTTATCACTGTCTGGTGAGGGGGTAACACAATGTTAACCCGCGCCGGGCCGGTGCTCCACGACTTCCGCGCCGGATCGGGGGTGTCTGAATCCCCCCTTCTAACTCCGCTCCTGGGCCACGTAGTGACACGCATTAAGCGGCATTCGAAAGAGCGTCAAAAATAATGACGGAAACACTTCAGTCATGTTTTTAGGAAGGTCAAAGTTGATATCGCCGACGCCAGAGGTCATCAAAGGTCAAATTTTGTCCATTTCAACAATTTTGGAAACTGCCAACAGCTAACTCTGGAACCGATAGAGTTAAAGCGCCGAGGAAAAGCCCATTCGATAGCTCTTTTAACGCTCTTTCGCCGGTGTGTCCTCAGATTTGACCTCAGGTCAACGGTTTAGCCTCCAGAGGCCAAAATCTAAAAAATACCCGTTGTTATGAAAAACGTTTTTCTGCAATAACTTTTGACTCAAGGAAGTGACATTTATTTTGAAAGCATCGCGTTCCTCTTGTCGAGACGCGTCGAATGAACTATAATTTGACGTTGAAAGGTATTTTGAAAATTTGACCTCAGGTCAAGGTCATGACCTGACCGGAAAAGGTCATGTTGCATATCAGTCGATCCGTATCGTCGAGCGGAACACATCTGAGGTGTTTTCATCGCTATAGCATGTCTATCAAAAGTTATTGTAAAAAAAAAACTCATGGGATCTTTTATGACCTGATATGACCTCAGGGTCATAAGGAGAGGTCACGGGTGCCATTTTTCGGTTCAGCTTGTCGAGTTTACCTGTAACACAATGCTTGGGAGTGTTTGGAATGACGTTCGTCCAAAAAGGCGCCTTTCAATTTTCTCCTATTGACTTAGGTATAATAGAGAGGTCGCAAAATTGACCTGACCTTAGGTCACCGATATCAAAATTCCGAGATATACATTTTGTATATACTGTTACTCTCATCAATTGATGAAAGTTTTAAGGTGATCGTTCGGTCGGTGCAGCTATGACGAGGATTCTAACTTTTTTCTCAGGTGAGGTCACTTGACGTGACCTGGTGACCTGACCTTGAGTGACCTGGGTCTGAAGTTTTCACAACACGTGCGGAACAGATGCATGAACAGGTGTGCCAAAAACGGCGGCGCTCCACGCCGCCGTTTCTTAGATATCTGCGAAAAACCGCAGGGGGGTGTTCAAAAATCCCCCGGCCCGGCGCGGGATAAAAAAATCAAATTAAAAAAAGAAAATTGTTAAAAAATCATGGTCTCAGGGCTGTGACGAAAAACAAGTGGCCTAAATCCGGTGAGAAAACAGGATTTGGGGGTACCCTAGGTTTGGCTCCTTCAGTCTGTGCCCCCCCCCAGTGAAAATTCCTTAGACGAGGCCCTGCAAACAGGTCATTGATCTGACCCGAAAGTTCAGCCAATGATCTAAGATCTCAAAATCACTTAGCATTTGCTTCCTCTTGTCACGAACAATACGCTCGTTTTTTTCCCACGAGGCTCTAGTTCGATCAAGGGTCGAGCGTTTGGGACTTGGGAGGGGTCCGACCGCACCGTGGTCCACCGTCCAACAGAGGTTCCTCCGCCCGTCTCCCGTATATGACCGCCGCAGTGAAAACGCAGGAACTTGTGGCAATGACCACGCTAGAGATCTGTCACCTTCGCCGTCGCACATGTAATCCCAATGAACAGCGCTAAGCGCTCTCCCAGATGTGTGGTGGTTGCGTAGACGTCCGTCCACGCATTTGGCGTTCGTTTTATTACAGGGTGTCCCAAAAATAATGTCACACCTTTCCAGCGTCCATTGCCAGCAAATAATTGCACTGAGAGTTGCGCTTTTCTTACATATGTATCCCCCTTCTCCCTGATACGGGCAAGCATACCAAGATTACTTTACTAATAAAGCATACGGTCCGGCACGCCAGACATCAGCTTTGAGCTTGTCCAGCTTCTGTGAACTGATCTTGGACCAGGGAGATCGGACTTTTCTGGTCAGCGTGCCTTCGGACATTCCTGGCGCCGCTTTGTTCACCTCTTCCAGGACGATCGCTTCCAGATTTTCTATCGGCGACAGATCGGGGCTATTCCCCGGCCATTTGTCCTTCTCCCAGAATGCCGGGAAGTGCAATCGACATCACTCCTGCGTGGTTCTAGCTCGATGAGCTGGGTGCCGTCCTGTTGAAAGATGGCCCTGGACATGTTAAGCAGGAGTTTTCGGCTGGAAACGTGGCTTGATGGGCTTCAGCTTCAGAGACAGCCTCCGGTACCGATGGTCGCGTGACAACCAGCGCCAAATCGTGCGGCGACTCACGCCCAGTGCCCCGGCAACCTGGCCGTGGGTCACGCCGCCGGCAAACATGCCGACTACCCGGCTGCGGCTCGATTTGCTCAGCAGCTTTGCCATCCTGGACACCTGGTACGCGCGCCGGGTACTGTCCCGGAAATGACCTCCGTACACCTCTTGATCGGTCACTGTCACAACATTCGAAGGTCACGTGACTTGAATATAACAAATATGGTTTGGGAACCAGTGCCCAGTACCGGCGAAATTATATTGAAATTGCACCGTAGCAGGCAGCATCAAGGTTGTGGGAGGGTGTGACATAAATTTTGGGACACCCTGTAGCAAGCTTCGGGTGAGAGCTCTCCAGGCACATACGCCCTGATTCGTCATTGCACGCCTGCACGCCTGGGATGTGCCTTGCACACCTGCTACCTATTTGTAATGCACGCCTGAGTAAGGCTAGCAGAGGCCCCGATTACCCGAGATTTTGTTAAAGCCTACTACGTTTTGCAGTCTGGCATTTTGCTTGATTTCACGTGCTTTAACCGGCATCCTGGTGGGATCCGTTTATAACAAGGCCTGGTGTGTGTCTGGGGGGGGGGGCTATTTTTTGCCCCCCTCGTTTCTCCCAAACAACTGGACGGATTCGCAAAATTCAAGCGGCGTTCGATAGTCCTCTCAAACCTGTTTAAGTAACTCTAGTTTCATGGACCTCGGGATCACTGATGACATCACAGCCCACAGGTCAGGTCAAAGCTAAAATGTGTCACCATTCACGGGTCTTCTATGGAATGCGCTATAGGTAACATCGAGTAAATGTATTTTATCGAAAATCATCGATAGAGCGCCAGTTGCCTAGTACACATGTTGCTAACAGAGGTCACTGATACCAGGTCAGGTCACCAAGGGTCAGCATATGAGGCCAATGTTGCTAAGTCTGTGCGATGCATGTTTATGGCCAATTTCTCATTTCCAACTCATTGGTGTTGGCTAGACGACCATCAGGAACGGTTTAGGTTACCTACTTACTGGTGGATGTCATTGTCATTTCAATGTCAATTGTCAGGTCAAAAGAGGCAAATTTCAAAATTAGTATTTTTGGCATAAAATGGGTATCGATCTGATGCAGCTTGTCACGGGAAGTCTAACGGTGGTCTTTGTTTTGCGCTATGTGGTCTAGAATTGCTAAAATTTATGCCCCAGAGTGTCCTGAAAGCTTGGTGACGATCGGATGATGATGGTGGTGGTCGGTGGACACCTCGGCGACGAGGGCCATTTGACGCCCATTGGTGACAATAGGCGCAGTGTTATTGGAGATATGTCGAAAAGTCTGGAGGGGGCCCAAATAGTCCCCTAGTTCCTGTCGAAATAGCCCAAACCCCCACTAGGGCGCGGGTTAACCGGCGCCGTGCTGGGGGGGCGTTTTTACCTTAAGGCTTAAGGTTTTTTTGCGAATATCTAAAAAAAATGGCGGCACGCGGCGCCACCGTTTTTGGTACATCTGTTCATTCATCTTTTCCGCACATGTTGTGAAAAGTTCAGACCCAGGCCGTTCAAGGTCAGGTCACCAGGTCACGTCAAGTGACCTTACCTCAGAAAAAAAAGTTTAAAGGATAGCTACACCGACTGAAAGTGATCACTTCGAAACTTTCAGCGATTGATAAGAGTAACAGTATGTATAAAATTTATATCTCAGATTTTTCACGGATTTTTTATGTCGGTGACCCAAGGTCAGGTTAATTTTGCGACCTCTCTATTATAAGTCAATGGGAGTATATACCCCACGCGTACTTCCAAATCAAAACATACCGCCCATACCGCCAAAAACAACTTTTAGCATTCTCTAATAGCAATAGTATTATTCGCAAAGTGTGTCGTCATCAAAGCCTTGTCCTTTGAATTGCAACTTAAAATTATTTATTGCTTAAATTTCATATCAAATTCCATTTTTTTTAAATTTAAATATAAGAAAGGAATTTTGCCTCTAAAAAGATACCACTTTGCTGCATATTTACGTCTGGACAACGAGTTGCGTTGGAGAGGCCGGAAATAGTGGCGATTTCAGGACCGCAAGAATGGACCGTCATGGGAATGATTCTTTTTTAAACCGTGCACTGTTTTTAGCTGAAATTCAATAGTTACCACAAAATATTTTGTAATTACATTTCCACTAAGAATGAATGCCATCAGCGTTAAGTTTTACTTCTATTGCATTTTGTCAAAAAGCATATAGTGCTGTTATATTGCAGTTTTTGCGCGTTTGTTACAAAATATGAAGCGAATAAATATCATGTTGACCTAAAGTTCATCTGTTGCATGATTGACTAGGCAGGTTTACACATTCCAAGTTTATCTTATTGGATCAGAGGTGTCATTGTAATTCATCAGTGCCAGAAGTTAACTTGAGGGAAAGCTATGCTAATTCAAATTGCTCTTGTCCATCCACTAAAAGTTATTAAATATTTTGCTTTGTGTATTCCAAGAGGAGAGGGAACTATTTTATTTGTGCCTTCATGCCAGAATTGAAGGCGGATCATTAAATTTTCAACGCAGCTTATAAACAAGCAGTAAGTCTTTCTCGTATAAAAGCAGTGGCTAAGAAGAAAAGGTTGATCAATCCTGAAGTTCAGTCATCGCACCTCAACTTGGCAGCAAGATCCCCAAGGACAGAGGATATGTTGTATACCTGTCCTGTAAATCAAAGCATTTTTGTGCCTGTAAAGGCTTAAGTTATTTGTGGTGTGTTCGGAGTGAGGCTATATGGCCGTTTTTGTTGTATGTTTATGTGGAGATTGAATATAACTGTGACCCTGTGCTTGTTGTATACTTACTACAGTCAAACAGGGAACCAGCACATTCACATAACATACTCACCTAGCACCTAACTCATAGCTGTGTCCCACAGGATTTGTACTTGTTCATCTCTCAAGCATTAACAAAGCACTAAAGTACCTGGCTTAGTTATCATTTCCCACATTTTTCTGAGCATCTAACATGACATACAGCAGTGCAGAGCAGCTTCAGAGAAGAAACACTTTAAACGCACAGACTCACACCAACCACCCAATGAGCCAGTTCCTCAGTTGACTGTTTCCCTGGATGCAGCTTGGCAAGGTGAGCTAACTGTTGGCAAGTTTAAGTTAGCAGGTAAGATTGAGTTAGGGTGAGTACCTACCTATAACTGGGTGCTACTGCCATGCAGGTCTTGGCTAGGTTGCAAATATGTGTGATGATTGAGGTTAGGTCAGCTGTCGGGTTAGTCAGGTATGCGCACTGTTCAATCAGGTCACATTTCTATGGACACTTGGGGCAAATTAAAACCTAATATAAGCTAACCCAACTAAACCTACACAATTACTGACTATAGGAACGAAGCACCTACCTACTTGTGCCTGCATCTCATACCATGTCAAAGTAAAGTTCCTTGGTGGAAGATTACCCTCAGTACTTTTTATCCCAGCCCTGTGGAGAAAACTAATACTTCTAAGTTCTGAGTCACTGCTGGCCATCCACAGAAGAAAAAAACGCTGAAGCTTTGCCATTGTATACTGGACCAACAATCACTATCACAAATGACTAATGAACACATATGATAACATCGTTGCATGGATTGTCACATTGACAATTTTACTACAATCCTTTTTTCAAGAAATACAGTAATGATTAACAGGAAAATCAACATAAAGTGGATTTAGTGATCCAAGCTTTCTCCTCCAGTAGCAATGGAATGATCGCATGTTTCATTTGCCAGACACTGAGTACCTGATGCACATTACCGTCTGCATAGCATCTAATCACAGTAAAGCTCCCCGAGTCCATTCATTCTAGATTTTTCACTTGATAGTTAGCACTAACTTATCTTGTTGTTGTAAGTTATCATTCAATAATATGCACTCATCAGTCAACATTTTCTGGCATGATACTGCTCAAGTGCTCAGCGTGATCTTCAGTATTGATCCAAGATCTCCTGCAAAATTATAGCTTGTTTTTGGCCAATAATGATGAGCTCTTTTAATTTTACTTTTTCTTGCTGATATGTGAGCCCGATCAACCTGCGTTAATCAACCAAAATTTCATAACTTCCAAGTTCAACTTGATATTGTTATTGCTCAGGGTCAGGGTCAGGACCTCTGTCAGCCTCCTTGATACTTGGGATTGTTTTCATTCAACATGCTTCTTAAATATGATATACGTCAAACCCATCCAACAAAACGACGTACAAGAGTACCTACGGAAACCACCAGATAAACTTGAAAAGGGCCTTTTGGAACAGAGCCAAGCGGTGCTCCATTTGTTTGTTTACAATGACTGTAGTGCTGATGTATTTTTAGGACTCTGACGGTCGGCTTATAAAAAAATGAAACGTTTTTACAAAAGTTGTAGGGCAAGCAATATTTATCTGAAAGAACTAAAATATTCAAAAGCCAAACACTATGAAATACATGAATGGGAACGAAAAAGTAACCCAAAAATCCAGCCTAATCACCGGCTCCTAAAACTGCGACAAAGTCAACACTTTTCCCCGCAACTCGTTGTCCAGACGTAAATATGCCACTTTGCTATTATAAGACCATTTTTGTTACAAAAGTATATATTCACATTCGAAAGCCAGTGACGTCATTGAAAAGCTGTATTCCGTAAATTTTAATTTACTTCATTTGACTGCGCTGTTTTTGTCACATTTTGTTGTTGCCCGAGGGAGAGAGTGTGGGGTGTGTTGAAGTTGAAGTGTACTGTGCTGCATAGGTTAGGGGGGAATTTACCCAATATTTGCTGGAAGTGTGGGACGGCTACCTCAACCTACGCGCCCTAATCCATCCAGATTAAAAGTGGGAAGTGTGGATACTCAGCAACTAACTGTAATGTGGACTACAAACATATATTTTGATTTCTATCCATCCATTACTAATGTGTGAGGTTTGCTAAATATCAACATGTAAGTGTAATGATAAAGTGGAATATTCTTAAATTCCATGGTATGCCATTGGGGGTGACAATGCATGTGTTTTGCAGGTTCTGATTACCGAGTGCGGTTTCCTGAAGGACACCCAATTGTACTGATCTATTTGTGCATATGCTTCCCTGTTGTGTGTTTGGCCTGTTCCATGCCCCCCTGGACCACCTGTATGTTATCTTAGGATTTAGCTTTATAGTTTATGTTATCATTAAAAGTTGATGGTAGTTAGTTATTTTGAGTCTTGCTCTGCTTATGCATGGGTACCTAATACCTATGCAGAATACAGACGATTTACTGATTATGTTGTTCAATGAATTTCATCAAAAGTCCCTTTTCTGTTGCAGCATACACAGACATATGATTGGGCAGTTCCAGTTGGATATCCTGCCATTGTATTGGCAGCCAGTGATGACAATGGCCAGGCTCAGGCTGAAGTATACCAAAGGATAGCAGCTTCCAAGCCTTGCCATGCTAGCCCTATCAGCAGCTGGACCACTGGAGTATGTGGCCGTGGTGGCCATGGTACTCATGGTTGTGGCTGTTCTCGTCACATGTACCTGCTGGATTGGGAAGCGGCCCAGGTCAGTTATGATAAATGTTGAAATGGAGAGTAATTTATGGTGTGATGTTTGGTTAACATGGATGGTATGGTGTCAAATATACATCCATGACATTGTTTTGTGTTGGGTTCATGCTTGCTTGTAGGTAATATGCATTGAATGCTTTGAAAACTTCATATAGTCATCAGATTTGAATATTCTTGATTTGTTTGTCTAATACATTTTAGTTATATATTTAGATACTTTCTATCTATACTATTTCATCTAGTAGGTAGCATCATTGATGTTTGGGTTTTGTTGGGTCTATATCTACCTTTATGTGTGCACATGGATTATCAGCATTAATTATCACTTATGACAGGTATGTATGTTATCACTCATTCTTTCATTTCAAAGCAATCTTTTGTTTACAGTGCTGAAAATCTGGGAGTACCAGGAAGAATCAAAGCCACAAACCATGATGAACCTGTCATAACACTGAATGGCACAGACAGCTATCCTAAAGGCAGGGAAGACACAAGGTGAGGCAGGATCATATTTATTGTTATCACTTACAAAGGTAGCTGCTTAGGATGTGTGCTCTTGTTCAAAACATGTACAGCACAGTAACTTGCACAGAATATTGTTAGAAACTTTTATGGTGTCTTTTACAGTTTCAGTTGAAGATGCATGACATTGCTGCCATTCTGAATTAGCTGTCCACCAGCAGTGCTATCGCCCATGTCCATCTACCTCATGCTCCCCCGCTCTGTCCCCCGTTGACCGATCTGCTGCGGCGGCCGCCGGCAGGCCTCTGGCGCCGCACCGGGAGCTGCCTCAGATCCCCATCGGCGCCGGCGACGGCGACCCGCGGCGCAACAGCTCGGCGCCCTCGGACCACACCTCGGAGTTGTACGCCGTAGTGGCGGACCCCGGCGCCCGGCCGGCCACCGCCGCCCCCGCCCCCGCCGCCGCCCCCGCCCCGGCCGGCGCAGCGAACGGCGTGGTGCCGACTGCGGCCGGCAGGCCAGCAGAACAGGGCGACGAGGAGGACCAACAAGAGAGCGATGACTATTACGAGCAGCCCGCCGTGGCCAGGTAGGTTAACACAGATTAATAACACGATCTGGAGAAATTCAGAAGGTGACGGTTCTCGCAAGCAGCGCACAGGCAAATTATTATAGTACGAGAAATGCGTTGGTAGTGGACAGATAAGTCTTAACCCTCGCCCGCACATGCCATTTTCCCATCCTAGAACGCACATGGGGGGGGGGGGGGTTGCCACCCCCCCGCGCCATTTCGTTCCTGTTGGAGATAGAGCTTAGCGGTAAGGACCAAAAAGATTCTTTGGGAAGAGACGAATCCAATGATACCCAGTTTTACCTTCTCAGGTCATTCATTGACCTTCCAGGTCAGGTCAAACTAAAAATGTTTTGCTGTTTTCGGTCACCGTTGGATATCAAGTGCGCTGGTTATCATATACCGATGACGATGCCGTTTTCTGGTGCCAAGCCAGCTAGAACCTCTTTGTCACACTACCCGACCAGGTTTTTGCTGCTGAGGTAATTTCAGGTCAAGTTAGGTCAAGGTCAATTATATGTGTTTGTATGTCTGTCTGTATCTGTGTGTATACTGATGTGTGCACCGAGTGTTTATGTGTCCATATTACATGAAATCATGATCTGAGAAGCTTTTACCAAAAATGCAGTCAAAAAACTTCACAAAAAGTAAATTTCGCTTGCCTAAAACGCAATTATCTTAGATGACCATGGTTGACCTTGACCCTGACCTTGACATCTGTACATCGTCGAACAACATGTTCAATGATATGTGGGTGGTAAGACTGGCAAAAAAGGCCGAAATCAAGGTGTCAAAAGCTCATAAGGCCCATAGCCAACGCAAGATGTTGAGAATTGGCCATTTGGGTCATGACATGACCTGAAAAACAAGGTCATATCTCCGAAACCAAAAACCACAGAAACTTGAAATTTTCAGTGGACATCAAGAAAGGATAGAGGAGCAGCTATACGAAAAACCAGCCTTCTAGCTCTAAAAATGTTGAGTGCAGAGCAGAAAGACTACCTGGGGGGGGGGTGGCCACCCCCCCCCCCCCCCCATGTGCGGGCGAGGGTTAATGGTGCGATTGCCTATTCTAACTGGACGTTCAGAATGATACTAAACTTCACTGTTCTTTGGGTTTATACTATGCAGCAAGGATGCTTAAATGGTTTCCTTTCAATATCCAGATAAGCTTCATAGCATGGAGTTTTTCGATGGTACATATGACATGCCTGTATGCTTCGAAAAAGCATCCTGTTTTGAAAGGACATACAATGACTTGTTTTATTCCAAAAGTTGCGCTTTGATTCAATGTTAAATTGATCTGCGTATTCATCCTGTCTCCGAAGTTTCGACCACAGCAATCATGTGCTGTGAGCTTAGCATTTTCAAGTTAAGCATGCTATTTGACACTTATATTGCATTTTGCCATTATGTGTCATGTGTCAGCCGGAGTTTCTTAGTGGAGCTAGGACCGGCGAACCGTTGCTATCACGGCCCACTTTCATATTGACACAGGATGCATAGCACATTTCGAGTTAATCTCGCACGGTGTTTGAGTTGCATCTTAACAGGCTGCCCTCAGTTCTAGTGTCTGCAAGTGCCATGAGTCTTTATCTCTCGATATCTATGTTGGCTCTTTTAAAAATAGACCGATTGTTGTTGCCGGTTACAGCAATGTGTTTTCTCAATAACTATGTATGTTGATCAGGCCTCTATATGCAGAGTGGCCTCAGTTTAGTTTGCAGGCTGTGTCGTCTCTGAGTGTCACCGTCCCCGTCCGTGCCGCTATGCGCCTCAAGGAGCTTTTCTCATGTTTCAGGGCACGCACAGAGCGACAGAGCAGCCAACCGCCCCCGTCGGCGCACAGCCGCAACCCGAGCACGGTAGGTGACCGGCGCCCGCTACCCTGGACACCCTCAGTTCGGCCTGACCTAGCTACCCACCCGCTCAGATACCCACGCTGGCCGCCCGTAGTTTGGTGTGATGTGCCTCCCGCGGAGGGGGGGGGAGGGGAGGGGGTGATCGGACGGGGCGGCTAACCCGACGGACGCCGGAAGCGAGCGCCGACATATCGCTGTTTCAGCGCGGTATCAGCGCGTCTGACGATCCGCGTCCGCCGTCCCGCGTCCGGTGTACCAGACCAGACACCACACGTTAGCCGTCCGGGGGGGTTGGCCAAACACCAGCCTTTTACTCGCTGTGCTCTCACAAATATTCAGAAATGTTATAAGTTATTGCGTTAAGCGGCTTCCAAAGGTTGGCGAACTAAAGCGAATTGTGTTTTTGTAACGAAGTGCAATTTTCTGTAATTTGTCCCAACGGCTTATTAAGCAGGGCTTCGTTTTTTTCATAAAATATATCCCTAAAAATATAATGAATTGCATAAATCCCCAGTCAGCGGCCTCCTTCGGCAGTGGTCGTGCCACCGAATCCCGATTGCCGAGTAGACTGCAGCTCTCCTCGCCGGTGCCCGCCTATCGCGTCCGCGGCGGCGCGTGCCCCACGCCCCGTGTGCCACTCGGTCCGCGGTCGGCTGTACAATCGGACGGTGTACGATGTGCAGTGACGGTGTCGGCTGACTCACGCCGGAATGATAACGCGCACAAACGGGAAACGTGACGGAACGCTGCTGCGCTGCGGTGCTACCTGCGAAACGATGACGGAGTTTCCGCCTCGCTGTTACGTGAGCGGTAAATGGCCACTCAGTAGACGCTACGGCTACAGGATCTGAGTGGCCTGCAACAGCTGTGAAAGGTCGTGAAGACTCAATTCGAATCGTGTAGAGTTTTCCTTTTGAAATATCGAGATGAAGGAGGGGATGGATCTAGCCTGGCTTGACAAGCAATGACCCAGTCGTGCATACTCTTTTTTGCACTCGTATAGCGTTAATGACCGTTACAAATCACGTCACAAATCGACGAGTCATATTCGCTGACAAGTATTCCCGCCTCCCGGTCAATTTAATGACAGAATTGTGTGCCGTTTTCCTTTCAGTAAGAAGGTATTTGACGCAATTCGTCATTCGAATTAAGTTCGAAAAGTTTGGGTGCAAAATGACACCCAGCTGCCATGAATATTCCACTCTTTTTCGTATTCAATGGGGGGCATTTTCCCACTATGTTTCACAAACTTCAAAACAAGTCATTTTTTTCAATCATGGCTGTGTCAGTGATTATATAACATCGGTATCATCAGAGTGCAAGCCACAAAAATCCCTTAGCTCACTTTCAGTTACGGTGGTTGCGATTTCTATTTTTTCTCGCGAAAAGGCCTTTCCCGATATTAATTTTCCACTCTTATCGGCAATTTTTGAAAATAATTTTCCACTCGACACCTTGGACCGAAAGTAATTTTAGGATAATGCCATCTTCTGTCTGTATGTCACGACCGTACTGCGCTCGCCGCTCATCCTGAGTAACTCATACTCTAAGTCTGTACGTACATTGCTATCATGTCCTGCGTGTCGTTCCATGGCTGGTCTCCACCCCTGTGTCGGTCTGAGGTGTACCAGCTCTGCCTGAGTGGCCTGTCCGACTGGACGCTCGTCGAGGCTGTGCCAGCCGCGGTGCTGCATGACGTTCTGACTGGCTGTGTGTCGGCCGCAGGCGAGCAGCGACATCCCGGCGCATCGAGCCATCAGCGGCGGCGTACCCGCCTCCCAGGAGCTGCCGTACATGACGCCGCCTGTTCACCGGCTGCCCGCCGAGCCGGCGCCGCCCGCCCAGCTGCACTTCAGTGGCGACAGCGTACAATCGGCCGACTCACGTGAGTGGGGCGACTTCCCTGAGACCCCCCTCCTCCTCCCGGTGACAGCGTTCAGTCAGCCGACTCACGTGAGTGGCGTCTGTGACTCCGGTGCTCCCTTGCGCCCCTGTGGTAAGTGTGGTAGGTGGCTCCCGTCACCCAGATTCCTGTGTGAGCGACTTCGATGAGTGATTGCCAAACTACGTCATTTGACAATCATAATCTGTCCGCTGTCTTCACACAGGCAGGCACCTGACAGTGTATTCTATGTTCTCTTCTGATGTCACTTAGTTTCGGCTGTTTTATCTGTGCGGCTGTTGCTTTCGTTCGTCTGACCGCTCCTCGTTTCCCTCCGCCCCTCAGGCGGGTACACGCGCATCACTGTGCGCGAGCCAGCCGCCGAGCTGACGCTGTCGGAGCCGCGGCCCGCCGACCGACGACCCTCCTCGGGCGCGCCACCCACCGCCGACAACTTCTACGCCACCGTCGACGGATCCGACGACGAGATGTACGAGGCGATCCCGGAGCGACGGCGGCGGGCGGAGCGCCAGCCGCCGCCGCCCGCCGGCGAGGACCTACCCGACGGCGCGGACCGCGCGGACGGCCCGCCGGCAGCACAAGGTGAGTGTGGTGGGGGTACCGGACCGTGGTATCGGGCTGCGCCGGCCCAGGTGACATAATGGGACATGTGACCGCGCTGTCAGCCGATGGCCGTTTGCGGAGAGGTTGTACCATTTCTACCCGTGATTGTGGTGGTGTCATTGGCAAATACGCTATTTATTTTCGTCTAAATAAATTTTGAGTCGATACCGTTCCTACCGAACCTGCCCTCTGACTGCACCGTTTTGCACTGACCAGGCGGTGGTGACGTGTGCTGACTGTTCCACTCACTAATGGTGATTCCCGTCCTCCCCAGTTGGGAGCGGTGTTCCGTCGGGCGGCCGGGCCGGCAGCGTGGAGCCGGCGGGCGGTAACGGCCAGCGGACCAGCGTGCCACCTCCGCCTAGCGTCGACTCCCTGCGACAGGCGCTGGTTCACTCTCGACAAGGTGGGTGACCGGGTTACCAGCAGAGCGACGTGTGGCAGGGGTGAAAACCTGGTGTTGTGGCATCTTGGTGAATGATCGATGCTGGACGTTATAGAAACTAGTAAATAAGTCAGTAAATAAACCATTCTGGTCCCTGTTTTCATTTGGTAGTCTCTGCTCTCTACCCTGTTCAGTGTTCATGTGTCTGTGATTATAGTTCGTTTTTTTTTTTTTAAAGGACGCTTGCTCAAAGTTCATTATCGAAGCTCTCACGTGAGTTTTGGCAACTTCAGCGTCTGGCTAAGAATTTCTTGCCGAAAAATGATATTTCAATTTTTTTTCCTTTAATACCGGCCGGACCTCCGGTCAGTATTAACTTTCAAGTTTTTATATTCATCGTACACTTCAAACATGGTTAAATTACAGACACTTTACAAAAGAGCAGAGACATTGACAGCTTAACACAGCTGGCACGCAGGAACATTAGTTTGCCCCGCGTGTAAAGTAGTAAGCCAGCTCTGGATCGTCCATATAGTCGCGGCTAGTCTCGACCTCGAATCCTTGCGCCCTGAATTCTGATTTTATTTGTTGGAACAGTTCACGGTAGCGTGCTAAACGAGCGGATATGTTGGGGTTATCAACTGCTGGAGATGGTGGAGAGCGACTATTAGTGTGGCTATCGGCAGTGATGGGTGATGGTGTTGTGTCAGAATTCATGCTAGGCGCTGAGGATGGTTGTGTGATATCAGTGATGGCATTGTTGGCTTGATGTGTTGGCAAGTGGATGTGGTCTGGGGTGGCATGATTGTAACATGTGCCATTTTGGGTCTGTCGTTTTTGAGTTTGCCGTAGTCCTGGGGTCCATGATTGTACCTGATGTTGAACGGTGTCGGAACTCATGGGGAAATGGGTTGTCGATCCTATGATTGCTGCTGCGTTTCCACGTATGATGGCCATTGACAACCGTTGCCATAACCAAGCTGTTTCTCGTCGGTCACCGGTTGACTGTGATATACGTCTGCCGAGCTCCTTGAAAAATCGACAAGCAGCTGGGCCGACAACTCCAGACGTCTCAACTGCCACTGGTACGAAAAGGTATTGCTCAGAAATGGATGAATACCGCTGGATTTTGCGTTTTTCCGCTGCGCTAGCTGCTGAACCAGGGTTGATGGCACAAGCGACCATAGCAGTCTCGGAGAAAGTGTCCGTGCACGTGGCGTCCCATGCAAGACATTTTCCACTTGCGAATGGGAAAGTTGTTAGGCCGTCCGGGCGCTTGCCGTCCCCTCTGTCGAGGCCCACCGGTTCCAGCACGGATGGGACGCCAGAGACGGAGAGGCTGCGTTTTATTAGGTCGTTTATGTGGGCATGTCGAGGGAATCGACCGGCACTCTTCTGACAGGAAAGGGCGTGATGTCCCAGGCGTCCAACTTGGCGACCGCAAAGACGGCATGTGTGCGGCTCACAAATTGGGACTCCCAGACGAAGAGCGACCGCAATTCTGACAGTCTCTGGGTCTAGGTGAAGGCCGAGGCTGGGGACCGGTATCGCTTGCAGCCAGGCGGCGGTATGATCCTGACTGGCGGCAAGAAGACGAGCTCTGTGCATTTGGTCAGCGTCACTGAGTAGGTGGTCTCTGAGTGCTTTTGACGCCATATCATCCCATGTACGTTGTTTGCATGCCAACATGGGTTCCGGAACTTCCGTGCTAGCTGTTGCCTTGACGAAACATTCTAAGGCAGGTTGCAAAGCGGAAGGCACTGTGTTGTCCAGAATGAATGGGATTATTGATGTTATGAGAGGAGTCGCAGCCGTGATTGAAGAAATGTAGCAAGGAAGCGCGAGTTTCTCGACGGATCGAACGCCGAGACCACCGTGTCTTACGGGGAGACTTGCTTGCGTCCAGGCTCCTTCGGTAAGTGAAACGTTGCATACATCGGTAAGGGCAGATTTCACCGCATTGTCAATTGCCTGCAAGCCTGCTTTGTTCGTATACATTGGGCTTGAACGGAGCAGGTACTGCAGGCGAGGCGCAGAGATGTAATGGGCAAGAAAGAAGATTGCCGTGTGCGTATCCAATCCACGAATACGATCACAAAGAGTTGAGACGGTGTCTGTGGCGGTCTCTGTAGCAATTTGAATGCCTGTTTCAGTCAGAGGTGAGCCCAGTAAGGTCAAACCGGCGGGAGACGTCTCACTTATCCCGTGGAGAGCGGCCTTTATTTCTCCTACAATTGAAGCGTGGACGCTGTCAAGAGCTGTGCCGAAAACGGCGAACTCGCACTTGGAGCCATTAAGCTCCAGACCGAGGTCCGGCAGCAAGTCTTGCAGTTTGACGAGATCATTGACGACCGTGCATACGGGGCCTGCTACAGTGGCGTCGTCCAAATACCATATATTTAATGGCGATTTCATGGAGCGCGCACAGTCATCAATAGCCAAAGAGAAGGCTATTGGGCCGAGCGGGTCGCCTTGCTGAACCCCGCTGCAAGATGAAATAATGGAGCTTCCTATATGCAGAGGTGTCGGAGCGCTGTAAGCCTGATACGCCAGCCGGAAGATTTCTGGACAGCGAGCTTGAATACTTTTTAACAGCTTGTCGCGTCTCACCGTGTTAAAAGCGTTGCGCATATCGACCTTTACAAAAGCTGTTGGAGAAGGGTTTTTCAAGGCATCCGATATAAACTCACGAGCAGCGTGAACAGCAGCCTCACAACCCAGTCGGGTGCCAACTCCAAGCTGCACTGGCCTGAAGTCGGGGGCTAAGAGGTCGGCTGCATGATGTGCTGCGATGCGGCTGGGCAGCCGCCGATAAACACTGCCGACGGCGATGGGGCGCAGTCCTCCATCCTTCTTCCGGAGGGCACAGAGAGCAGCCCCGAAGAAGGCGGGGCGGGCACACTCAGGGATCCGGCCGTCCAGCGCCATGTTGGTGAGTGAGGTCAGTGACCTAAGTAGACGTCGACCAGGCTCTGACGCTTCGGCGGAGATGAGTTGCCGCAGGTGGAGAGGCCTCACTCCGTCCAGCCCTGCTGAAGACCCAGTCGGCATTGTCTCGATGGCTGCTCTGACCTGTTCATTGTTTACCTGGAGTGGACCGGATTCGTGAGGCTCCGGTGGAGAAGGCAGCGCTTCATCGGGTGGAGCTGGAGGATGCTTACTTCTGAGAGCACTCACTATATCACAGCTAGGCTGGGTGTACTCTTCCTTTGAGGTAAGAGCCCTCAGGGCCCCCTTTATGTCGCCATCAGCGCATTTTGAGGCAACTCGGTGGGCAATGTGGTTTTCAGACCGGGTTTTAGTCACTGTTCGTTGGCTTGAGATAGGTTGGATACTCGTTAAATTATCCATGCTAGCTACCTGCTGCTTGATAGTTGAGGCGGCTGATTGATTTTTTCTACCGGGGGTCTTGACTGGAGCGCGGAGAGCTAAATACGCAAATAGCATGAAGCGTTCCCATGCTTCAGAGCTCGAGTCGCATACCGCCTTATCAATGAGCTTGGAGAGGCAGTCTGCAGCAGAAGCCCGCGCCGCCTTCGGAATCCTTTTGATGACGGTGCAGTTGTTTCGCAGCTCAGCTAACCGTTCAGAGAGAGGCGTTGTGGTTGTAGGCGCTGTCACCGGGGTTATCTTACCAGGAGTGCATCTTGACTCGCTGAGAGTAGTTTGACTATGGCGACATTTACTGCAGTGCCATACGTTAAGCACGCGTGCTTGGGCCAGTGTGAGTCTGGCACACGATGTGTGCCAACGCAGCGCACAGTTATTGCACGTTATAGAGGCTTTCCTTGTCGAGAGACTGGGGCATCCAGCACATGAGAGCTGAGAGGACCCATGGCTGGATGTGCTGACTGAATACTCTGAACAATCCCGTGAATCTTCAGTTGCATAGGTGGGGCCAGGGTTGAGCTCGATATCGCCGGCGAGTAGGACTGGAGGGACGTACGCTAAGCGGCCCATCTGGCGAGTGGCGTCTGAATTGGCGCTGTATGCGACGCGCCTCCTGAAGTAGCGGGTTTTGACTTTACCCGTCCGTGTCACCTGCTTCTGGTGAAATAGCGGGATGGTGGGGAGCTCCCTGTTCCGCTCCCGGGGCAAGATAAGGGGAAAGACGTCATCAGAGCACTTGCGGAGGTCTTGTGTTACTGGCGGTGTGGCAAAGCAGGCACCAAGGATTGGTGTTTGCCAAATAACGTCCAAAGCAACATGTTCGGCCAGGACGAGTAAAAATGCTGAAAACAGCATTAGGCGTCTCATTCTTGTGCTGATTGTGTGCCGCATCTTCAAGCCGGAAGAAACGTGTTTTGTTTTGTGAAAAAGCAGAGCTTGCTGACTAATCAGTCTGTTTTGAAACGTCCATGGACTTAAAGGAGCCCCTGTAGAACACCCAGAAGCGATAGTGACTGAAGTCCTCTTATTTTCGTCGTATTGAGGGTGGTAGCCTCACAACGTCACGTTATTTTTCAATGAAATTTTGCGTGGATGGGGCAGTTCTTGTGAGACAATCGGACAGATATGACGCATCTAATTCAATCTTGAAACGAAGTTTTTGTACGTACCTTCAAAAAGGCTTGCTGATAATAATGTAGTCCGTCAGAACCAGGTACCACATTTACACTTAAAGTAAAGAGCTGAAAAACTGGAGATTATAGAAGTACATATGATCTTGGAAAGCTCATCTTGATAAAGAATAATTAAGCAAAACGCGGAGCACCTGCAAAGCTAGCCGTCCAGCTCTGCGCCTGCGCAGAGACTGTGAGACTGTATTTCAAATTGTGCTCGGTAAATACATGGAAATTGTGATTTCAAAAATGAGCATACTATGAAGACGTCACTGGTGGCAGCTGGCACCCAATGTCCGTAAGAAAACATTCATTGCCATCGAATTTTGGATAAACTTCGTTTTTTGCTCTTAAAGGGACTATCCCACCTTTAACATGGGGTTTGAGTTGAGATAGCCAAGTTTGCGGCGAGGTTCAGAAACCACTATCTATCTAGGTTGCAACCCCCGCGGCCTCTTGGTGTTGAAGAAATTCGTTCCCTTCATTTGAAAATGGGCCTTGTACAAGGCCCTATCTTCAACATGGAGCGACCGTTAGTGTGACGTCACCTCGTTTAGTCATTCTGATTTAAATGGGTTTGTTCGTTGAAAAATCGCTTAAAACTTGGTCTGAACTTTGTTGTGGTGCCTACAGAGTAAAAAGAATCAGCTTTATGACAGTAATGTGGCCTGGGGAAGGAGGTAATTTTGGGCTGTGACGTCACATATTTGAAAGTTTGTGTTTGGAATATGGGAAGCCTAAGATGTTTAATGAAAAATAAATGCCAGAACCGTGTTCCTGGTCATCCAATCTATAAAGTCGGGCACAATTTAATTGGTTTTAACAACATTTTAGAAGGTGGGATAGTCCCTTTAAGGCTGAAACAGACTCTTTCCGCGTTCAGGAAATCGCATGCGAGAGCCTATTCAAATACATTGTAATTCTTCTCGCATCAATCGCTTGCGGGAGGTGCGTGCGATTGATGCGAGCGTGCTTCCATGTATTTGAATAGGCTCTCGCATGCGATTTCCTGACTGCGGAAAGAGTCTGTTTCAGGCTTTACTGAGGCCCGAATCGAGTAAGCGATTCTTTCCATGATAGTTATGCATTGCATTGAAATGCAAGTTCCACAGCATGACGTCACCACTGTTTCCATGTCTAGTTCCAAAACGCAGGTATGGAATTTATCGGGAATAATTCACATGTTAAAATAAGGCGACGTTGGAGTTTCTCAGGTTCAGTTTTTGCCCGTTTTGCTCGCTAAAACACGTGCTTGTTCGAAAAACATACTTGGAGCCAGCGTCCTTTTGAAAAAAAAAAAACGAACTATATGTGGGGTAAGGAAACAACTGTTGTTACCAAAACGTAACAGCAACGCCACCTGCTGTGGACAGCCTTTCGCCATTTCCACTACCGTTTCCCGGCTTTGACGTGTCACCTACCGAGAACGGGCTACGGTAGATCGGCCAGCCACCGCTGACCCCTCTCCCCTCCCGCGGCACAGCCTCCTGTTCGAGCGTGGCCTCCTCGGGCGGTTCGCCGCCGCCGGACCGGCGCTCGGCGCGCTCGCCGCTGCCGCCGCTGCCCGACCTCGACCAGCTGTATGCCAAGGTGCACAAGACGCCGCGAGCACCGGGCGCCGGCTCGCCGCCGCCGCCGCCGCTCCCGCCGCCCGTTGAGCCGCTCCACCAGGCGGACGAACCGGCACCACCGGTTAACTACAGCGATTTCGAGGTGGGTTTGGGGTGAGTCTGGTTTGGAGGGGACGGCGGGTGAGAGGTTGTGTATGGATACATGATAGTAAAAGTACCTTTCTGATCTCGTGATTAAGATGATGCCTTTCTGGCTTTTAAATACATGCGCCTGCTTTAAAGTCAGAAATTTGGTGTGTTATCCGTCATTTGATGTGTTATCCATTGACCTGAGACTGTTTGGAACTATCTAACTCTAAAGTTTTATGGTAGATCGTGTAATATCCGTGCGAGGTGCGTGTGCCGTGTCCCCGGGCGGCGCTCCCCGGAGCTGACGCCGGCTCCGTCCTCGTCAGGTGGTGCGGGACCCGATCCGGCGCCAGCGCCAGGTGGTGCGCCGAGAGTCCAGTCTCGACCCCAACTACGAGTCGATCGAGACGCGCGGCGCCCGACGGCCGCCAGACGACGCCGACGACGACCCCGAGGACGCCGGCTACGACCGCGTGCGTCGCGCCGACTCGGCGGCGGGCGCCGGCGGCGGCTCCGACGACGGCGCCGGGTACGCGCGGGTGCAGCGGCCGGCGGCGCGCGCCGCAACAGACGAGCCCGCACCGACACCTCTGCGCCGCCGCGAGCACCACTACGAGCGCGTGCGCCGGCGCCGCGACGACGACCCGCTCTACGAGAAGATCAGCTGCAGTCCGGCGGCCAGCGAGGTGTACGACGAGATTCGATGGCCGCGCGGTGCTCGGCCGCAGCCGCAGCCGCCCTCGGACGCCGATGCCGAGTCGTTCTACGAGTCGGTGCGTTTCGGCAGTGAGCTGGACACGGATCCCAACTATGAGATGCTGCCGGCCAAGCCAGGCAGTGACACAGACGAGCTGTACTCGTGTATATGGGACCGGCGCGGCGCAGAGGACCCCTACGCCAGCATCAAACGCTCCGACTCGCCGCCGTACGAGAGTATTGCGCGCCCTCGGCCGCTCGACTCTGACTCCGACTCGGATACTATCGGGTACGAGAGCGTCCGGGCGGCGCCGTCATCCGCCGCGGGCGGCTCGAATCGAGACGGCGGCAGCACGCCATCTGCGGGCGACCGCTCCGAGCCGGCTGCCGCCGAGCCCCCCGCCGCCGCCACGGCCGCCGCTACCGCCGCCGATCTCAGCCAACTGTACGCCAAGGTGCAGAAGGTGCAGCGGCAGGCGAGCAGTCAGCCGACAGAGGCGGCGCCGCCTGTGCCGGACGCGCTGTGGCTCGCGGCGCCGTCTGAGCCGGACGACAGCGGGGCCGTGGTGCGCATGGATAGCAGCAGCGCCAGCACATCGCAATACACGAGTGCCTCGGAGGCGGGCACGCCGCTGCTGCCGAAGCGGCTGGACGATCTGGACTCGCCGCGCCGGCGCCGCTCCACCACCAGTGTGGACAGCGGCTCGGTGACCCAGTCCGAGCGCGACGAGCTCATGCCGACGGCGTGTCCGTGACGGCTGTACCGTGAGTCCCGGCCGGCCGCCGCCGCCGCCGCCGGCCACATTCCTCCGTTGTGAGTCTGTTTCACGTGTAGAGTCTACTATTTTTGAATGCTGTTACGTCTGTTGTCTGTTAGAAATGTGCAGAGCCCGTTTTGGGCGTTAATTCGTGCGATCGAACAAGTGAAGCTTTATCTGGTTCCGGGCGTAGGGCGCCCGGGGCTGCAGCGGGGTTCCCTGCGGCTTGGCAGATTCATTCAGAAGCTATAATGTTGCGCCGTGTGTTATATTCGTGGTCATGTGTGTCGCTAAATAGGCGGTGCATTCCGGTCGTGTACAACTGGTTGGGTGCGGTGTTGACCGAGGCGGTGCGTCTCGGTTGGCCTGCGTCTGCCATGATTAGTCCCAAAACGGCCACCGGCCGGCGCCGCCCACTCCAACCTGTAGACGTACTTAACAGAGACATAGATGTTCGGGCCAGTCCAGCCGCAGGCGTAGTCCACAGGTGGTATTTTACATCTATTCGTCGCACTTACACGCATTGTTCAATAGGCATCAGTGGCACATTTCAATGATCATGACTAGACGCTGCCGTGTCAGGGCTGTTCTGTGCTTGCCGGGCTGGGTGCTCCCTGCTCGGACCGGTCGGGTCGGGTCGGCTCAGGGCGTGGCCCCAGAAGGAGAGGTGGCGGCTCGCGTCTTCCAGTGTGTCGCAGTAACTCGTGGCGAACCGTTTTGGCTGGCGGCGCTGGCCACTAACCGCCGCGCAGCCGCTAATCGTCGCCGCCTAATAGACATCTTTTATTCTTGTACTTTGATTCTTATCATCGAAGGGTGAGGACTGAGGGTGATGTCTTACCCTAAAATCAGTAGCGTCGCCGCAAGGGGGGGGGGGGCAAGGTGGGCCAGCTTGCCTTTCGATCGTCCGACCTGGCACACCAGAAAACCGATGCAGGCCCATTGAGATTTTGGGGCGGGGGAAAATGAGGGTAGGTTGCTGAGGGTGAAAGCAGAGTCGGAGTCCGTCAACGTCGACGTTTCTACCGTGAGTCGGAGTAACCAAAATATAAAACACCGACTCCAGCTTTAACATCATTGCCTCGATCCAAACCTTCAGTTCGTTATTCGATAGCTTTTTTGAAGTTATTTCGGAAAAAATGTCCCGAAAGGTATCGGACAGTTTTTCGCTGATAACTCTGGTAGACATGCGTGATGCTAGAGCGATGAAAACGCTTCGATGTGTTCAGCTCGACGATATATGGCACGACTGCTATGCAATACGATCATTTCCGGTCAGGTCATGACCTTGAGCTTGGACCAAAATTTCATGACCGCTTAAGTCGCGCCCTGCGGGGGTGAAGTGGGTTGAACCCTCCTCCTGTGGTCTTTCGCGAATGTTTTTGGCACACCTTATCACACATCAATTCTACACATGTGAAAATTTCAGACCGGGGTCATTCAAGGTCAGGTCACTAGGTCACTTGAAGTGACCTCACCTCATAAAAAAGTTACAATGACAATGTCTGCCATAGCTACACCGAGTGACCGATTACTTTGCAACTTTCAGCGATTGATAAGAGCAACAGTGTGTACAAAATGTATATCACGGAATTCTAATATCGGTGAACTAAGGTCAGGTCATTGCGACCTCAGTCCCCATCGAAAGTCAATGGGAGAAAATTGAAAGGCGCCTCTTTTATACGAGAGCCGTTATAAAGACACCCAAACGCTGAAATACAATTGTACCTTTGACACACGAAAATACCTTTGACACATGAAAATAGTACCCGACACCCATGAAAAAAACCCTATGGGGGGCGGCACCCGCCCCCCCCCCCCCCCTCGGCCGGCGAGGGTAAATCGATCTGTCCTGACCTAGCCTCACGGCACGCCGGGAGCGTGAGGCATGAGAGTGTGACACGGCACCTCTCCTGTGTCGGAAAACTACCTACTCCACAGGACCCAAAGGTGTCCAGTCACGCCCCCCGCCGTTCTGCTATCACAACTCTACTTCATTAATTACCGCTCCCAGCAGTTTCCATAATTATCCCAGACGGATCGTGGCGGGATGTCAGAGGAGCGCGATTGAAAAATGACCGGCGTGCTCGTCGTTGCCTTGGTTTGGTGAAGATGGGATACGCTTAGACGAGCTGGAACACGTCTAAAATAGCTTGCGACAGCGACGGTAAGCTTACCTCAGTCTCTTTACGATTTTTGTCATGCTTTCCGGCTCAAACGAGGAAAATTCAGGGCCAGGTGAGCGCTAGGGAAACGCTACGAGCGTGAGCCGATGGATTTTGGCGCATGAATCAAACAGTTCCACCTGATCGATTTCATGGATGTTTGGTGGTGTGTCGAATATCATGTCATTCAATTAAATTAAAGTCACAACTGTTTACAAAGAAATTCAACTGAGTTGAGCCTAAGGTCGGTTCGCTAAAAAGACACGTTTGACAATCGATATTGTAAACCAATACAAATCTGATCAGGGGTAGGTATCAATGAAATAGCCACTGGCACTTGGCAGTTGGCAGCCACCGGGACAGTTACTTGGTCAGTCACTAAATCGAATACGTAACCGTTCCGTTCACACTTTCAACGTCTAACCGTTCAAATGAATTTCAATACACTTCACAGCCCCTCAATGGACACAATACGCAGCCAATGGTCACAATATCGTCGCCTTTGAATGGTCCATTAGCTCCTACACCTACACACCAACCCGCGGGGCGCGGCTTTGGGTAGAGGCCGGATCACACCGTCCCGGTCACACTTTCACCCACTGTGCGGCCTGCCCGGAGCCGGTCTGTGACCTCGGGAACACCTCTTAGAGCGGGGTCACACCATGCAGATATGGTGACCGGTATGGAGCGACCAGCTGACCTTACGGCGCTGTCAGACCGGCCAAGTGTCACGCGGCAGGGGACACCAGACAGAATCCAGAAGTACGCCAGGAGGGCTTTGGATCGCTCAATGGCGTTTGAGTGAGACTTGTTTGGAGTTTCAGGGTGTGTGGAAAGAAGAAGCAAAGGTTTATCGTAAACCACGCTATTTACGAGTATATTCAGCGAGTAATGCGATATCACCATAATTAGCTATCTTAAACGAGGTGAGTTCCTCCACAACTTCTAAGCTATTCGTTGCTCGACCAACAACAAGACAAAACACTATTTCAGGAATAAACTATAAAAATAATTTAGGCATAAACGTGTGTGAGAGTAAAAGTGAGCCGCTACGCCCTACGGCGCTCGCTCATAGCTCCAAACCGGAGTAGTCTACTTAGTAGAAGTGGTCGCGTCACGGTTTGAACTGAGCCGGTGGACGGTATGCCACTACTTATACCACTGGACAATGCAAAAAAGGTTAATGCGAAGCTATCGCCGACTTATTCTGAAGTCTGGCCTCTTTATTCTTCCTACACGAATATTAACTTAGGATCGTAACAATAAAACATTCGACAATAAGAAGACGATACAGTTTGAGGGTAGAACTATAATGCCCAATTTCTCACCATCTGTAGGGTGTAATATCAACATATGTACCTAAATGCATTCCAAGTTCTCTTCAGGCACAGCTCCCGCTCAACCATGGGTGGAGAACCTGCCCCGGCCACCCCGGCCGTGGCCGGGGTAACTTTCAGCCTACCCCGGCGCGGCCGGGGTAACTTTTCCACTCTTGTAAATCCTAGAAGCTGTCTCGAAACGAGAAAAGAAAACTCGTTCTTCAAATGTTCACTGCCATGGGCGTAATATTGCAAATCAGGTAACTAACTATTTGCTTAACATACCATAATCTCCAACCCCAGGACCCGCGTGTGGTCGCCAATGCCAAGACTGCTCTCAAATCGGGTTCAGTTTCGAAAATTTGGCGCGTTTTCGGCGCACTTTTTCTGAAACAATGCTTGACCTCGCTGCCTTCGACTGGCCTGCCAGTGCCAAAGACCGCAACCATACCTGTTTATAATAGCGTACTCGTCAGGATGCTCATAAACACCGAGCGTCCGTTGCTCGCTTCGAAATCGGACTGTTGTAATCGGGACGCATACTCTTGCCACGCGGAGTCCAACGCTCTACCGACTGAGCTGCGAGACCGGGACCAGTCGAAATTCCTGGATCGACTCCCTGTTTGTTTTATAGGAGGTTGAGCTGCCCAACATTGAAGAAGGCTGCGTAAGGGGTTTGCTTATGATGACTGTTGACAACAATGTGAGCATATCGTCTTTCCGACTATTGGTCGCCGGCCGGGGTAACTTTTTCAAACATTCTCCACCCATGCGCTCAACGGTAACGCCGCCCAAGAGAAGACTGTTAGGCTGTGCCGCAATGCATCTGTGAGCCTGTGGTAACCACGTGTGTCGCCGGCCGGCACGGGAGTTCCCGGCGCAGACCGATTCGCGCGCCGACTTGTGACGTCGCTACCCCGCCCCGGCGCTGGGGGGCGGCCCAGGACGTGTCTGTTCGTGAACTTTGTCCCATCACGATGCGACCGCGTGGCTGCGGCCTGCGCTGCCGCAGTGCGTCGGCCAGTGACCAATCCGCGCTCCGATCGGCAGCCACGTGGTGTCCGAGTGCTTCTGCGCATGTCTGGGCCCGGCCCGCTGCGTCGGGCCGCGCGCTCCCAGGGACTTCTAGGCCGAGCTCTTGACCCGAGCAGACGCGTCACGTCTGGCTCCGCGATTTGGCCCGTTCTGTCCGGGATTTATAACTTAGATTAGGTAGGGCATATTTGGCAAACTTGGATTTCATTCTCGTCTCTTCGTCGCTCCATTGTCTGATTCGCTGTTTTGGTTTTTGACTTCGTTTTGGTAATTTAAATATAACAACCCGCTCTTTTAATCAATTCTTTTACTTGGGGCCGTTTGGGTCGAACTGATTGAATTCTTGGAACACGCACCAGGTTGATATTTTCCATTTCTGATTAACGTAAAATCCAGCCACTGATATGTGGTGAACTGCCCCACAGCACCACATATTGGTGACCCCGACGTGATTCTTGTTCGATTTTTCCATACTTCCGGGTTGTCGCCTCCGCTCATTCCCGAATCAATTATTTTATTTTATTCCCCCACATGGATTGCTATTCCGTCGCTCCACAGTGGCTTCTGCGCCACTTTTCCATGATGGTTTCTGTGCCATCTCTCCGCCGTGTGATTAGTTAGGCATTTATCTTCTCGGTGATTTTATTTCGGCGTTCCATTGGCTCTTTCGGATTTTGCACTCGGTGTTTTAAATCTTAATTGTTCAGTGCATTGCAAACACCGGCTATACTTAAAGGGACCCTCCCACCTTCAAAAAAGTTTTATGAAATGGCATGAAAGTGATGTCGCTCGGTTCAGAAAGAGCGAAAACGAATATCTACCAAATTTCACCGAAAAATATTCACCGGTTTTCAAGATATTAGACTTTTACTTTTGTTTACTTTTTTGGGATCTCCGCTGTTTCTAGCGACTTTATTTTAGAAGTGCGGCGTTTGCGGCAGATGTTGCGCGCAAATAGCATATACCACCGCGTGCTACAAAACGTTTTAGTCAAACATTTAAAAATCGTTAGATATCAGCGCTGACGTCACACATTCAGAGGGGTATTCCTAAGCATTAGCCCCTCTGAATCAAAATGCTGCAATTTTGAAATTCAATATTTCCGACTTAAGGCATTTCTCGATGTTGTGAGTGCCGAAACCGGTAATTGTGAGCCAGGGACCCCATTTTGGCTATCTCAACTCAAATCTAATGTTAAGGTGGGAGGGTCCCTTTAAACGATCATGACGAACGAGGGCACGATGGAACCCGCTCATGCTGAGCCGGTCCATCATG